TTTCTTCAGAGAAGTCTTGGCAGTACATCTGTATCTTGAGCAAGTAGACTATTATCTTTTCCCAAGGGGAATTCTGGCTTTTTGACAAGGAACTGTGGAGCAGGCAAAAGAGAATATGCAGATTTCTCAAAGACTAGTAAATAATGAATCTGAGGTGACATTAACAACAGGTGACCCCATAATGGTCCCCAGGTTGGAGAATTCTCCATGGAGAGCGAGCATCCTGATTCCTGGGTGTAGAACAGATACAACACGCATGCTTGTTGACACATGTTGTAAGATCTGTTACAGAAGGAATTCTGAGTGGAACCTCCTACTGAGGAGAGCCCCAGAAAGTACACTTTCCATCAAGATCAGAATTAAGCATTCAAAGCCAAACACAGCTGTCAAAGACGTGAAAAGGAGAAGTGGTGATTCCCATAGGATTCCCATCCAGTTCATCTGTCTCAAGTGAATTATGATTGATGATAATGGACCATCATCAATACTGTTAGATCCTTTGCTGGATTTTCTGTTTTTCCTGAAGCAGATTGACAATTTCTTCTACTTGATAGGTAGCAACTCATTTGGTGACTGTTTTCTGCTGCTTGGGCCTATAAAAGATAATCTTTAGGGACCTTGTCTATACTGACATTCTGGGAACATCAGAATTCTACCATATTGAAAACATCTTGTTCATTGACATGATGGTCAGGGAAGGTCAGAGGCCCCATATTCCTTAGACCAGGGAACTATTACCAAGGGATTTAAGGGACTGGTCTTAAGAGGCATGAGACTCACTGATTTTATCATGATTCTCATCACTTGAAGCACTCCACTGGGAAGTGGCCTTTTGGAGGATTCATCTAGTTACAAGTAGAGGACAGTACATCAAGCAGTGAAGGAACCAAACTTCAGACTGCAATAATGGGCACTAGCAGATAGAGCATCTCCAACACGGCGCAAAGCCAAAAGCCAAATCGTGAAAGAAAATCTTTTTACTACCACATCCAAAGACTCATTTGTGGAACGAATATCTGCTATCCCTTCAGCCTTGGATTTTGTCACGTTTGAGGTCCTGGTCTGTATGCTATAGCAAATGCCATGAATAGAGTGGCTTAAATAACAAAATGTATCATCTAAGATCAGGATGTTGGCAGGGTTGATTCTTTCTGAGGGGTGTAAGGAAGAATCTATCCCAAACCTTTCTTTATCCAGCGCAGCTTTCCGGCCATCTTGGCTGCTCCTGGACTTGTAGAAGTACCACCATGATCACTACCTTTTTCATGTGGTGGTCTTCCCGTGTGTGTCCTTTTGTAAGGACACTATTGAATTGTCACCCTGTCTAATGACCCTCCAAAAATCACATCTTGAGACCCTGGGGGCTATGACTGCAGCATGTGAATTTTCAGGGGACACAAATTAACATGATGGGGTCGCAAGGTGGAAGCGGAGGAAATATCATAACCATAACATGGCAAAGGCCACACTGAATGGGCCTGTGACTGCCACCTAGGCACTTTGGCTTCTCATGCCCATAGATTAACATGCCAAGGTGACTGACCCTGATTACATGGAGACTTAGATTATAAGGACCCAACAGAGGCAGGGAGGAATATGCTCAGAGTCAGTGGGCTCGTTGGACCCATTCTTAGCACTTCCATGTCCACTCAAGTAGCCAGTAGGCAATGAAAGCAGCCCACACCAAAAGGGAAAATCAACCAAGATCTCAGATCCTTTGGGATGGGAGATCTGGGTCACTCTACCATCTAAATAATCCAGGCCAGATGAAGCCTATCTGTGGATGAGGGGAACTTAAATGGATGGAGAATGAAGGAATGAATAAGTGTATATTATAATCTTTGTACAGTTGCAACAACCACTGTAGCTTGTATCATAAATCTTGTTCTCAAAAAGCCTGGCTGATTAGACTTGATCAGCCTGTCTTTAGAAAGGAGAAAGAGCACAAAGAACATGGAGATTGCAGGTGATCCAAGTTGGGAGCAGAATGTAATAGAAGGTTATGAGGATCTGACCACATCAGACCATCTCATATTCCTCTGAGCCTTCATCCAATAGACATCATGATGTCCGGAGCTTTCGGTTGCCTGCTCTGCTCTGCAGTCAACTGATTCTGCTCAAGCTCCTGTGCTCTTGCCACTTGAGGGCCACCAGTTGCTCATCTGGGGAGGCGTGGTCTTCCCACTTACTGCTGCTAAGGGGTATTGGCTTATGATCCCTGTTACTGGTTTCTCGTGGTACATTCCCACCTTGTGGGATATGGGATCAAGCAGCCAGTGAAAGGGCCAAATTTTTCAACCGAGATTTAAAATTCCAACGGGGTAAACTTAGATCCGTGAGAAAGATAAGACTGGGGTAAGAAGGAGGTTGAGCAAATACGTTTCCTCCTCTTCCTCCTTTCTACAGACTGTTCTGAGGGGATACTTCTCCTTGTATCCTGTCCACAGGTGTCCTGCTCAGCACTGCCGCACAAGCTGAATCTCCTGGTGGGTTTGTTCCCAGCAGAGTTCAGCAACTTAACACACTGCTTCCATTGTTTCCTCTCCTTTCCCTCTTCATCACTCTCCTGGGATTGATTTGTCAAAAAAAATCATGGCTGTTAGCCACTGTTGGAGGGTCTGTTTCCTAGCTTATTAAAGCTACTCAGGTAGGTAGAGGCACACAGAGTTCAGACAGGATGGAAAACAGATAGGTGCCAGGATGCCCCACTGACTTTGGATGCTTGGAAGGACATTGGTTTCCTTCATTATCTCCCCTACTTTCTGACATAAGCCTGAAAATCTGAAAGAAGGAAGGATGGCTTCCATTCCATGCTTAGAGATAAGGCTAAAAATACCCATTTCCTAAGGAGAGGAAACTTGGCACCCTAGATGACACTAAAGTGTGAAGGGAAGATATCAGCTGTGTCTTAAAGGCAGGAAGGTAAAAGGGTGAGTGACAGGCAGTGTGCCTCTGAGAGAATTCTCTGAAAGGAGACCTGAACTTAGGGTCATACCAATCTGGATCAGTCCTAGATCTGGTCCTGCTGATCTTAGCTGTGTGGCCTTGATCAGGTCTCTAAACTATAAAGTGAGAGGGTTGGGTGAAGTGATCTCTCAGGGTCTGTTATGGTTTGAATCTGGCATATCTCCCACAGGCTCATGTTTTGAATGATTGGCCCCCCAGTTTGTAGTGCTATTTTGAAGGCTGTGGCACCTTCAGGAGGTGGGGTCTGGACAATGGATCTAGGCCACTGGGGCAGGACTTGGAAGGTTGAATCTGCCCCTGGTTTCAGTTAGTTTTCTCTGCTGGAGTCCTGGCTGTCTACCATGTGAACAGCTCTACCTCATACTCCCATGGCCATGCCTTCACCACCATAACAAGAAAATTTATTTTTCAAAGACAGATGCATCATTGAAATCCCTCTGAAGTCATGAGCCAAAATTAACCTTTCTTCTCTTAAGCTGTTTCTATTGTTTTTCTGTCAGATATTTTGGTCATAGTGATGGAAAAGTAGTAAAATAAAGGAAGCACCATCTATAAAGTAGGCCCTGGTTCCCTCTCTTCTTCCTCCCGAGCACATCATCCCAACCTTCTTCTCTTTTGGGAATTCTGAGGGCACACTGTTGTGTGACACTATTCCTGGGAAGAAATGTCTACTCACCCCAGACAGGAAACTGATATAGACCGAAGTCAGGATATCACCAAAGTCCACTAGTTGTTGGAAGGGCTTATGTTTGAAAGTTAAACACCAGGATTACATTAGTGCTGAGAGAAGCAAGCCATGGAACTCAAACTTAGACTTTAGAGAAGAAATGGGAAGGAAAGGATGGACAGACAGGGCAAGGGCCACCCTGTGCTGATATCTATACATGAAGCCACGAGGGTGCCTGTGGTCCCACCCTTCAGCTTCTCCAGGACCTTCTGCCCATGCCCACCTTGCCAGGGCCTTTGGAAGGTGGATCTGACTGTGTTATAACCTACCTACTTTAGGAATCTGATGGCTTCTCTTGTAGCCCAAACCCCAAGCCACCACAAACAGTACTTTTTGGATTGTTGAAGAAATGGGAAGCTAGACCAAGCAATGGGCCTGAGACTTGGAGAGGGGCGGAGATGCCACCAGGGAAAGATTGGTGTGAACAAAGGTCACCAGACTCAGGATGTCCTGGGCACTGAGGAATTCGGGAGTAGCTGGTAGTAAGGAAGGGTTCAGCTTCCCATCTGGGTACTTGGATCCAGTGTTGGCATTTACTAAGTGTCCCATCTTAGGTCACTTCTGCCTCTGCCTCAGTTTATTCATCTGGGTAATAATCATAGGGCTAGCTATCAAGAGTCAGGAAGTGAAATTTTAACATTTTCTTATCCCTCACTGGAGTCCAAGGACTCAACCTCTAAGAAGTGACCATCTACCCCTAGTTCTGACCCCCACATGGCCATGTAGTTGACTTCCTCCATAGAATTCAGTCTCCTGCCCAGGCCCCTCTGTATACAACACCTTTCTCTGCAATGGTGGAAGTAGAAGCCATTCCCATCCCCTCTTGTTTGTCTGAGGAGCCTGACCATAGGCATTTTCATGGCTTCATACAGATTTTCCTTGTCACCATGTCTGACTTGGTGACAAGACTCAAAGGCTGGATCATGAATCCACTAGTCCTCAGCCCTCTCCTAACATTGCTTGGGGTCTTTATCAGAGTGACAAGCTGAGTGGTTTGGCCATCTTTATCTATATGTAGCCTAAGATGATATCAAAGTCTCTCCTGTCAGACTATACCAGGAAGACTCTGGGTGGACTTGCTTAGCACCCTGGTACCCCGAGGCTTGGCCCCTGAGAAACCAGAGTCTTGGAGAAGATTCTTGAGGTAGCATGAGCCAGCTAGGAAAACATGGCTTCTGCGTGGGCCATGTAAGCCTTTCACACTACTGCGGTCCCCTGGGTTGCTACCCACCCTGGGAGATTTCTACCCAGTCCTCCAGTATTAGACTCAGCCACAGAAGGAGACAATACAGTTTGAGTCATGGTATCATTTTATTGTCAGTAAGAAAAAGCAACACTTTGGAGACAATCAACTAGAAAAGGGGCGGGGAGATGGTATTAAAAATGTAAGTACAAAACTGTTGAAAGAATGGAAAAGCCTTTAAATATTCTTTTATTTTCAGTTAAGTGCTTAGAAAATGAAATAAAAACACGGGTCCTTCTAGCTATGAACCTGGGTTATGATAGCTGTGCCTTGGATGCTAGGATGAGCAGTAGGTACCTGCTGGTTTGGGGACCCATGGTGGGGCTTCTTCATCTCCTGAGTCATCCATCCTTTTTGATGGCACCAGGGGATACTGGACTTGTTGTCACTTGAGTTCTGGGACCCAAGTGGCTCCTCTGTCTCTTCTATGTGAGGAACCTTATGGAGATAGTTTCCCAATTTGTAAAGTTCCAAGGCCATGCCCATGCCCCTCTCCTGGAGCTCTCTCCCTTCTGCCTGGCCCCATGTGGCTCTGCTCAGCAGCATCTCACATGTCTGTGGACAGGAAGTCTGGGAGCTGCTTGCCTTCTTCAGAAGATTTACTGGCCAGCTTTGTGGGAGAAGAGAACACACATCAGTAAGATGGGATTCTTATGTCCATCAGAGTAGACCATCCCAGACCCCACATCCTGACCTGTGCCCAGAGCCAAGTGAGCAAGAATCACACGATCTTGAGTTTTGTCAGAAAGCTGATATTGGGCAGTTTCATAGGCTCCTTGCTAGCTGTGTGAACTCTGTGGCTTGCCTAGCAAACTCTGTGAGCCTTGTGGAACCCTCCCGGGACAGGGGAAGATCAGAAGGAATAATGATGGGGAACCGCTTAGCATGCTGCCTGACTCACACAGGCTCTCAGGAAATCTGTGATTTGGCAGCATAGTTCTGACTCATAGTGCCTGGCAGATTGGAAGTGGGTTGGTGCCTTCCTGAATCTGAGCAAGGACCAACAGGTAACAACAGGGGATGGGACTTCGGTAATTCAAAACCAACTTTTAATTTGAAGGATTTGGGGATATAAGTAGAATAGAAAAATGCTTTGATTTTCCCCCCTTCCCCCCTACCCGAAGCACTTTCATTTCTAATGACAGATGACTGCCTGGGCTCAGCTCAGAGCAGCAAAGGGCAGTTTAGTCAGGACTAGCCACTTGGTTCTGATGTCCCAGGGGCCCTGCTCCACCTGAGCTTGGATCAGTCGTGCTCAGAGGAAACACTTGAAGCCCCAAGAAGTACTTCACTATGGGCATTGCTGCACAGCCTCCCTCCGGTACGACACCTGGCCACATAGCCATGCCCACAGACGACAGCTCTGTACAGCCTCCTCATGTTTTTCTGCTACTTTCTCCTCCCAACATTCTCCCTTTTTTTCTAGCCACTGGGGTCCTTACCATTGTCTTGAAGAACTGATTAACTTTCTTCCTTTTCAGTGTCTTCTTGTCACTGTCTGAGAGATGGAGGAAGGTCTGGCTCAGGCGGGGAGATGTGTTGGCCTCTTCCAACCCGGGAACACCTGCCACCGAGAGTGTGAGGGCTGGAAGGACAACGGGACCCAGGTGTGAGCAAGTGTGTACAAGGGACAGGAAGGGTATCTTGGAGTTGGCTCATGGGGGACAGAGGTCTCTGTTCTTCAGGTGGTTCTAGCCCTTGGTCAAAGCCTTGCCCAAAGATGTCTGACTAGAAACAGAGGAAGAAGAGGAAAGCTCCCTTGACCCTTGGGCTATGACGTCTTCAGGGAATTCAGGGCAGAGTCTGAACTTAGCCTCTGCTACTGACTAGCTGGTCTATGTAGAAGTCAGACACTCAGTGCCTTGGTTTCCAGGGATGTACGATGGGGTGGATGGCATTTTCTACTTTATGGATGGGTGCAGTGGTATAAGGGTGATAATGAATGAGGGCAGTTAGGGCAGGGTCTGGCAGGAGCAGGCATCTTTGCTGCCATGAACTAGCCAGTTCCAACTCTGCCTGGTTCCTCTCTGCCTTGCTGTTGGCACAGAGCCTGTACAAAGCAGCAGACATTAGGATGGGCTGCACATGAATGCTGAGCTCCTGGCTCTGCACAACCTCCCTCTGTGAATAGAAGTAAGAAGAGGCTGTTTCCCATTCCTCAACAATGAGGGATGGGCAGAGGTTCCATCTATGCACCAAACACAACCATCAGATACTGTGGCAAGCTTCGTAAATCCAGAGCAGCCTTCCAGTTTGGAAAAGGAGGCATGAGTCTTAGAGACATGTCAAGGGCAAACTTCTGGCCCTAGAGAGGCTTCAGGCTGCAAATTCAGAGACCTCTGCTTTGGCAAGTGGTCCCAGCAGGTCTCAAAGCTAGAGGGTCAGCAAACATCCACCTCTGACCCAGACAGAGCTTGATCAGATGGCTTCCCCATTGGGGAATGTTTAGTGAATGCAGAGGCCAGGAGCTTCTGGTCCCAGGAGGCCTGGTCCACTTTGCTCTATAGAAGCAGGTGCCATCCTTCCTTCCCTGCCAAGCTGGAAGCCCATACTATCTCTCCCCCAAGACTGGTTGGCAGGGTGCGTACCTGGGATGGTAGGCATGGACTGGCTAGCAAAACTCATCTGGGAGAGGACAGACATCCTGGGGGGGATGGCCGCGTGCTCTGAGAGGTTGGTGTCACTCATGAATTCATGTTTTCTCGAAAGCTGGGTGAATAAACGAAACAGACATACCACACACATACCACAGACAACATATCTTTAGCATTCAGTATTATAAGCCCCCAAAGGCCAGGGGAAGGGGCTTGAAGTGGTTTCTATGGACCTGGTACCATAGACAGTTCATTTGGCCTGTTCTATACCATTCCATGTCAGCTTACCATTTATGGTTACACAGGTTGCAGACTACATAACTCCCAGAGTGTTGGAGAAGGGGCTATTTAGACTATCATGTGAATGGCGTTCTACAGAATTGTGAAAGATAGAAGACATGTCTGTACTTTTCTTTCTGGGCAATAACAACCTCAGAGGACCCCTGGGAAGTTAGTAGAATTCCTTTCTTTACTAGAAGGCATCTCAGCTGGGCCCACCCTTCATCTAGCTCTCCTTTCTTGCCAGAACAGTGTTCTCCCTCTTTCAACAAACATCTTTTCTAGGGAGGAACTAATATCAAATGTAGGACTGCCTGATACCTAGTCTTTTCATTAGTTATTGTTATTAAGAAAGTCTCCTTTGGTAACCCAGGTTGCCTTGGAATTCACTATGTAGCACAAGCTGCCCTCAAACTCATTGTAATCCTCTAGCTTCAGTCTCCCAAGCATTACATAGTTATTAATTTGAAAGACCAAAATGCCAGCATATGCTCCCCCCGTACCCATGCAGGTTCTTGTTACTTAGGAGCCCAGTGGAATCTGAATAGCCCTGGGGGACAGAGGGCTGGAGCTCTAGGTGGCTGCTCTCCCTTGCAGTGGACATTCAACTTATGGAATCTGAGAGTCTGGGTTCAAATCCCGACTCCAGAGCATGAGCATGTGTTCTGTTCTCCCTCGTGCCACCAGTGGCCTCTGAAGACCCACTGCAGTGAGGAGACGAGGCTGCAGTGCCACTTGCCTAGGAGTCCTGGGCTGCCTGGCACAGACTTCTTGAGATGAGTTGTGGAGAACCTGCTGCTGCTTACCCGCTTCAGGTCTGACTCTGCCGCCGCCTTCTCATCTGCAAACACCACACTGCTCCTCTTTGTCCTCTTCTTGGACCTCCGCAGCTTGACCTCGGGCAGAGTGCTTCCTGGGGAGATGGGTTCTTCCTCTACTTTAGGTGTCTTGGGTATTGCTGACTCCAGGTCAAAGCTGAAGGGCAGGTAGAAGAGCAGTGAAAGTTGAAGTTCAAATTTCAGTGAAACTGCCTGGTGGAGGGATGTGGGGGTCCTCGAGGGCACCTTCATTCTGACTGAGCTGGCTCTATAGGGCTAGGGACAGATCAACTAACCTAATAGAATTCAGATGTCTGGTTCACATTTAAAATACAAGGTTGATGGATTGAGGGTAGTAAGCCCAAAACAAAACAATAAACAGGTGGCAAGAAGACAAAACTGGTTAAAATATGGATCTGGGGGGCTGAAGAGATGATTCAGTGCTTAATAACACTGATTGTTCTTACAGAGGACTAAGGTGTGGTCCTAGCAAAAATGTGGCAGCTCACAACTGCCCGTAATTCCAGTTCCAGGGGCTCCAATGCCCTCTTCTTGCATCCATGGGTACCAGGTATGCATGTGGTACCCATGCATATAGGAACTTACATATACACATTAAAAATATTTGGAACTGGATTCAAATCTAGGCACTGCTCCTGCTTAGCTGAATGACTCTGGGTATGCTGAATAACTTCAGTTGTCAACTTGAAACACTTGGGAAGGAAGAGCCTCAACTGAGGAATTTCCTCTCAGATTGATTGTGGCAGGGAGACATTTTCTTGATTGTTGAGTGATGTGGGAGACTCCAGCTCAATGTGGGTGGTGTAAGAAAGTAGGCTGACCTTCTAGCCTTGGGCACAGGCCCACTTTTGTTCTTAGCACCCCAGATCTTTGGCCTGCCCTCTTGGCCCCGACCTGCCCACTGTGTCCTGATCCCCTGCACTCAGACCAGCTCAGTCCTTCAGTCTAGCTTCTTAGAGCCTTCACAGGCTGTCCCCACCTCCAACTTGCCTGGGATTCTGGTGACCAGCCTTCTTCCCTGGTAAGTCTGATTCTGCCCACTCACTTTGGCTCCCCCACAACCTGAGCAAATTCAATCTCCCCACCCCACATCCTGTTCTCCTTTTAGCCTTGGGCACAGGTACAACTTTTGGTCTTCACAATCCAGATCTCTGGACTATCCTCTTAGCCCAGACCTGCCCACTGTGTCCTGAACCCCTGCACCCAGACCAGCTCAATTCTTCAGTCTAGTTTGTTAGACTCTTCAAAGGCTGTTCCCACCACGAACTAGCCTTCACACTCACGAGACCCTGGCTCTTCAAAACCCCAACTTGCCTTGAATTTCCTAGACCAGGCTTCTTCCCTGTTACGTCTGATCCCGTCCACAGTGTCTGACTCCCCTATAACTTGAGAAACTCCAACCTCCTGGACCTCACATCCTGTTCTTTTTTAGCCTTGGGGACAGGCTTGATTTTGTTCTTAGTACCCCAGATCTCTGGATTACTCTTTTAACTTCGTGTGGCGGTGAGCTTTCCAAATCATGCTATGTTCATCCGCCTACTTTGGGACCACCTACAACTCCTCCCAATGCTGGAGAGTTAGGCTTCTCTGCCCATTTAGTAGGGGCCCAGAACTGGGCAGACGGTCTGAGATCACCTGATTCCAGCCTCCACCTAAGCTTCCAAAATTGTGCTGTTCATGCTGATGAGAAAGGCCCAGACCTGAGGAGAAAGCCTGAGAGCTTCTGATTCTCACTTGACTTGGGCCTCTACGGGAACTCCTGAGTAGCTGAACTAGAGCCATCTGGTCTCTCCAATATAAAATCAAAAGAGAAAACCTGAAGCCTAGACTAACCATCTTTTCATACCCAATAAGAAAACAAAGGCACATCAAGTGTACAAACAGAAAAAAACAGACGTAAACTCAACAAAGGAAGGCTTGAGTTTCACACCAGAATCAGAAATAACAAAAGAAACCCACATGCCAAAATCACAATGAAAAAATAATATGAAAAACCCAAATAATATGTGCCCACCAAATACCAGCAGCCCTATAGAGGAGTTCTACAATGAGAACCCCCTAAAGATAACCCAGGACTCAGAATTTAAAAGAACAATCATAAATATGATCAAAGAATTCAACGAATTTAAAGAACACACAAAGAACTAAAAGAAAATAGAAATAAACTTCTGACTTCACAAAAGAGTTAGAAATATTGAAGAAAACAGGCTGAAATGAGGAAGGAAGGGAAACAATCAGCCAGTCAGAAACAACAGAAGAAAGCCTCACCAATAGAGTTAGTGAAGTGAAAATCAGTATCAGGACTGGATGATAAAGATGAAGAACTGGACCACCCAACAAAGATTATGAAAAATTTAAGAAAACACAGGAATAGAATATGCAGGAAATGTGGGGCACCATGAAAAGACCAAAGTTATGCACCACAGGCATAGAAGGAGGAGAAGAATCTCTGGATAATAGTACGGCCAAGATCTTCAACAGGATTGTAGAAGAAAATTTTGCAAAATTAAAGATATGCCCATACAAATAAAATCAGCACATAGAATACCAAACAGACAGGACCAGAAAAGAAACTCCCTAGGACATATCATAGTAAAAACACTAAATGTACAGAACAAAGAATTCTGAAAGCTGTAAAAGAAAAACAACTCACATGTAAAGGAAAACCCATTAGAATTATAGCTGACTTTTCCGTACAAACTATAAAAGCTAGAAGAGCCTCAACCAACGTATTCCAAGTTCTAAATGACCATAGATGCCAACCCAGAATACTTTACCCAGCAAAAATGTCTATAATAGTTGAAGGGGAAAGAAAAAATCTTCCATGACATAAATAGGCTGAAAGAATTCGTGTCCACAAAAGCAGCCCATCAGAATTTTTGAAGCAATACAAAGAGCTGAAGAGTGACTATACCCAAGGGGCAACAGAAAGAAACTAAATGAAGGTATAACAGTGGAAAGGCACAGTTAGATCAAGAATGTAAACAGAACTTAAAATGATAGTAACCAATATACATCTTTCAATAATAGCTTTAAATATCAATGGACTGAACTCCCCAGTCAAAAGAGAGACAGGTTAGTTGAATGGATTAAAAAACAAAATCCATTGCTTTTGTTATCTGCAAGAAACCCTTCTCACCTTAAAGGATAGGGTACTACCTTAAGGTAAAAGAATGGAAAAAAAATATTCCAAGCAAATGGCACTAAGAAACATTCAGGAGTTGCCATTCTAATAGCTGAAAAAATAGACTTCAAACTAAAACTAAACAAAAGAGATAAAGGCCACTTCATCCTAATCAAAGGAACAATTAGCCAAAAAGATAATACAATCATGAGCATATATACACCAAACTCTGGTGCACCCAGCTTCATTAAAACAGTACTACAGGACTTTAAGTCACAGATTAATCTCAACTCACTAACTGTAGGTGACTTCAATACCCCACTGTCTCCATTTGACAGGTCAACCAGACAAAGAATAAATAGACATCTGAATTAAACTGTACCATACATCAAATGGACCTAACAGACATCTACCGAATATTCCACCCAAACACCAAAGAATATACTTTCTATCCAGCACTCCCATGGAACCTTCCCCCAAATTGACCACACACTAGGGCATAAAACAAGTCTCAACAAATACCAAAGAAATTGAAATAATTACATGCATTCTATCAGACCATAATGCAATGAAGCTTAAAATCAACACTGGAAGAAGCCCTAGTAACTATATGAACTCATGGAGATTAACCAACACACTCCTGAATGGTGACTGGGTCAAAGGAGAAATTAAGAAATAAAAGTATTCCTGGAACTAAACGAAAAGGACAATACAACACAACAAAGTCTCTGGGACACTTTAAAAGCAGTCCTAAGAGGAAAGTTTATAGCTCTAAGTGCCTTTATTAAAAACTCAGAGTACAAATAAGAGACTTAACATTGCAACTGAAGATGCTTGAAAGGCAACAACAAATGAAACCCAAGCCCATCAGACAAGAAAAAATAACAAAAATCAGAGCAGAAATGAAATATAAAAACAAAGAATCAATGAATTCTTCTAAGAACTGGTTCTTTGAGATGATTAACAAGATAGATCCTTAGCCCAGTTAACTAAAAGAATGAACAACCCCAAATAAACACAATCAGATGAACAGAGAGACATCACAGCAGGCAACAAAAAGATCCAGAACATAAGGGAATACTTTAAAAACCCATACGCTATTAAATTTGAAAAAAATAGAAGAAATGGATGTGTATCTAAAATTGGATGTGTAATCACCAAAGTTAATCCAAGAAGGTATCAACAGCTCAAACAGACCCATAACATATCAGGAAATTGAAACAGTAATATGAAACCTCCCAACTAAAAAATCCTAGGCCCAGATGAAGTCACAGCAGCTCTATATCCAATACTAAAATTTTTCAAAAAAGATAGAAACAGAGGGAGAACTCCCAAATTCCTTCTATGAAACCAGCATCGCTCTAACACCAAAACCAATACAATAAAAAAAAAACCTATAGATCCATATCCTTAATGAACATAGATGTAAACCACATGCACACACACCTTAAAAAGATCATCAACCATGATCAAGTCAACTTTCTTCCAGATATTCAGGGATGGTTCGATATACATAAGTCAATAAACATCATAAATCATATATGATGGACTCAAAAACAAAAACCATATGGTCATCTCAGTAGATGTAGAGAAGGCCTTTGATGAAATTCAACATGCATTTATGATAAAAGTCCTAGAGGGAATTGGACTGGAGGGAACATACTTCAACATAATTTAAACTGTATATAGCAAAATCAGGGACCAGACAAGGCTGTCCACAATCTCCGTTCCTTTTTAATATAGTACTTGAAACTCTTGCTAGAGCAATAAGACAAGAGAAAGAAATTAAAGGAGTACTATCTGGGAAAGAAGAGGTCAAATCCCTCTTTGCAGATGATATACTATAACTAAAAGATGCCAAAAATTCCACTAGAAAACCCCTAGAAATGATTAACACTTTCAGTAAAGTGGCAGGTTACAAAATTAATCTACAAAATCGATAGCCTTTCTATATACCAATAAAAAGCAATTGAAGAATACATGGAAACCCTACCATTCATAATAGCCTCAAAGAAAATAAAATATCTCAGAATAAATTTGATCAAAAACTTTAAAGACCTCTTACAATGAAAATTTTAAGTCTTTAAAGAGATTGAGGAAGACACCAGAAGATGGAAGGACCTCCCATGCTCATAGATTAAAAAAATTAATAGTGTGAAAATGACCATCCTACCAAAAGCCATTTATAGATTCAATGAAATGCCAATCAAAATTCCCATGACATTCTTCCTAAAATTCATATGGAAGCACAAAAGACCCTGGATAGCCAAAACAACCCTGAACACTAAGAGCAATGTTGGGGGGATTACTATACCAGATTTTAAACTATATTACAGAACTATAGTCACAAAAGCCACATGGTACTGGCACAAAAATAGACCTGTAGATCAATGGAACAAAATTGAAGACCCAAATATGAGTACATGCAATTTCAGCCACCTGGTATTTGACAAAGGGGCCAAGAACATTCACTGGAGGAAAGACAGCATGTTCAGTAAATGGTGCTGGCAAAACTGGATCTTTACCTGTAGAAGAAAGAAACTAGACCCTTATCTTTCACCTTGCACAAAAGTCAACTCTAAATGAATCACAAACCTCAATGTGAAACAGGAAACTCTGAAACTGTTAGAAGAAAACATTGGCAGGAACCTACAAGATATAGGTGTAGGAAAGGACTTTCTAAATCGGACATCAATTGCTCAGGAAATAAGATCAAGAATCAACAAATGGGACCTCATTAGCCTAAAAAGCTTCTGTATAGCAAAAGAAACAACCAAGGAAGTGAAGAGAAAACCTGCAGAGTGGGAGAAAATCTTCACCAGCGACACATCTGACAGAGGTTTAACATCCAGAATATATAAAGAGCTCAAAAAATCAAGAAAGCAAGTGACCCAATTAAAAGATGAGCTAAGGAACTGAACAGAGAGTTCTCAAAAGAAGAAATAAAGATGGCTAGGAAACATCTTAAAAGGTGTTCAATTTTGTTAGTAATTAGGGAAATGCAAATTAAAACGACCTTAAGATTTCATCTTACCCCATTTAGACCGGCTAAGATCAAGAGGACAAATGATATCAAATGCCAGAGAGGATGTGGGGAAAGGGAAATGCTCATCCATTCCTGGTGGGATTGCAAACTCATGCAACACCTATGGAAAGGCATGTGGAGAACTCAACACACTAGAAATGAACCTACCATTTGACCCGGTTATACCACTCTTTGGCATATATCCAAAGGACTCATCTTACTTAAGAGATATTTGTTCATCTATGTTTGCTGCTGCTCTTTTCACAATAGCCAAGAAACAGAAGCAACCTATATGTCCCTCAGCTGAAAAGTAGATAATGAAAATATGGTACATTTACACAATGAAGTTCTACTAAGCGATAAGAAAGATGAAATCATGAAATTTGCAGGTAAATGGAGCTAGAAACTGTTTTACTAAGTGAGGTAACACAGACTCAGAAAAACAAACAACATATGTTCTCCCTTGTATGTGGATCCTAGCACCAAATCCTTGTATGTGAGTATGTATCCAGATATAACTGCAGGAACCAGGATAATGAAAAGGAATCAGGGAGGTAAAGGGAAAAAAACTCAGAGAGAGGAACAGTAGGAGACAGGTGTTATAAGAAAGAAACGAATAAAAATGGGAGTATTTACATGGGAGGAGGAGGGAGGGTTTTACAAGGAGCCTTGGGGATAAAGGGAAAGGAGGAGCTCAAGAGAGGTAGGACCATAGGAACTGGTATTATCAAGGAAGAAATGGGACACTTTAAAAAGCCATGGAGGGTTAAACAGGGATAGAAGAGATAAATAATACGTATGTTTAAAAACTAGAGGGAATCATATTAGTCCAACAACCTAAGGACAAATCACACATACAATATCTCTACATGGGTCCAAGTATATAGCTAAAGGCTACATAACAAGAAACAGTGCCAGACAGGAGAAACCTTTACGTTGTTGGCTAGGGTGGTTCAAGAGACCCCCCAAATTACACAGGCTATTGCAATAGCTCTTGATTGCCTCACATAGAACATACTTCAGACACAGGATTTAGAGCAATGGACCCAGAACTGACCTAGAAGCTACTTCCCCTGAAGGCTAGCTCTCATAGCTTTGGAGAGCACTATAAAGGTGCCAAGGGAAAATATCAATCGGTGGTCCAACACCAGCTTCAAGACCAAATAACCACATCAATGGCTGGCACAGCATACAACATTGTGCAGTAGTGGCACTTTTATCTTGGGGCAATCAAGAGCTACCTAATTGTACTGAAAGCCCACTCAATGGGAGGAAACTTAAGTGTGGTACTGTAAACATAACCAAATACACAAGGCTGGAGAGGTCATAGATCTTAGAGAAAACCCCAGGACTGTCACATCTCTACACTAATATAATTTCTTACTATGTGCAGAATATGTGTCCTTTTATTTACAGGCAAATATCGCAGTCACCACTCATCAAAAAAGCCGCTTTTGCACCAGATGGAGACTATTACCTAGTACCACAACTGGTCATACACAAATTGCCCATGAAGTGCCCAGGCCTAAGTGACAGATTTACGATGCAACCTTTACACGTAAGGCTCTTGGAACATAGAACAGGGGTAAAAAGGCACTAATGAATCTCTCAGTTCTCATTAATGAGGCTCCCTCACACAGCTGATGGCCAAAAACACAAAAGGTCTCAAACGACCAAAGCATAGAGATTAAGAGTCTGCAGACTGCTGGTTTTTGGACAGAAATCCTATATTAAACTTCACCCACCCAGGGCTCAGGGACCATTGCAGAAGAGGGGACAGAAAAATTGTAAGAGCCAGGGAGGAGGTGCACGACCATATAGAGATAGAGTCCTACAAGCTCCTGAGACCCTCCTCATATGAATCTATACCAATGGTGTCAGCAGACTAAAACCCAGCATAGAACTGGGGTTGCAGAGATGGACAGCAGACCCCAATCTTAGCTGAAGAAATATTGGCAACTGATTACTGCTAGGTGAGCAAGAGCTGCTCTTTCTAAAGTGAGGGACCCCAGAGAAGCTGACTAGACCACCCCAACCCTAGCCCTTACCCTAGCCTTATCCTTATGAATCCCACTACCAATACCTCACCCTCTACTTAATTTAAACCTAGGAGCCCTATTCATTTTCTCCGTAGGTGAACTTGCACCAAGGAACATCTGGGGGCACTAACTTGACACAATAGGCTTTAACACAAATGACAGAATGTATGAATTCCAGCAAGGGACGATGGGAGGGTGCCAGTAGGGATGGGGCTATAAAGATGATTGAGATGTTCTGTACAAAATACATGAAAATTCAATAAAAACAAATTTTTTAAAGAATTGGCTGAGCACAGCCCGGGGAGCAAGCCAGGAATCAGCTTTCCTCTGTGGTTCCTGCCTCCAGATTCCTGCTTGAGCTGCCTTGAATTACCTCAGCGATGGGCTGCCACTTGGAGGAGAAGATGAAATAAGCCTTTTCCTCCCCAAGTTGCTTTTGGTCATGACATTCATCACAGCCGTAGAGACACCCAATTAACATACCGAATAGTCCCTTGACTTCTCTGAGCCATCACTTGGTTTTCAGTGAGCAGGGATATGTAGCAACCTGAACAAATTGCTGTGATGTCTGAATATTGGGTGCTTGGTGCCTAAGAAGGGGACAGTGGGGTTGGGCAGGGGAACAGTCACAGGACTCCATAACCAAAGGAGGACAGAGAGAGGTGTGGGAGGGGATATTCCACAATGGGAGTGTTGTAGGGCACTTCCTTGGGAAGGATGGGACTCCTGTCAAAGGAGAGAATGTTCTGGCTGGGTGAGAGATACAGGATATCACTAAATGTGAAGGCTGCAGTCAGTTCTGGGTTCCTGGGAAGCACCACGTGTCTCAGTCACCCAGGAGCAGCTCTAAGGGTTTTCTGAGGTTTCAACTGGGGAAAGGCTTTGAACTAAAGCGGGAGGAGGCCTGGATCAGGATTACAGGGCTCCAGGAAGAGACTGACCTCTCACAGGCGGCCTTGCTGGGGGTACTGCAGTCGGAATTCATGGACGCCAGAGAGATGATGGACATCTGCCTGTAGGAGCGCAGCATGGACCTGGGTCTGCCCACTCTCCTGTCGTCGAAGTCGGGCTGTGGGTGTGAGAACAGGTGGTGAGCAGCCATGGGAGTAGGACTTTGCCATCTCAGCCTTCCTTCCCCCACTGAGAAGGGCAGAACTGTGAGCTGAGGGCATCAGCACAAAGCTCCCAGCTGGCAAGGCTGCAGGGCTGTTGTAAGATAAACACTGGCAGCCTCTATCCCTGGGAGCAATCACTAGTCCCAAGTTTCCCCATGTGACACAGCATCTGTGTTATCCAGTAGCCTCATAGACCAAATCCTTTGTTATGCTAATGAGATGGCTTGAGATGGGGCCTACAATGCCAAAGAGCCCAACCCTGACCCATAAACTATCCACTCTACCTCCAGGGAGGGATGGAGGACAAAGATGGGTTTTTAGTCCATGACCAATGACTGACTCAGTCATGGCTACATAATGAAAGCCCAGGAAAAACTACATGTCCATAATCATGTGTCAGTGTGCCAGAGGGGCGACACATCTTGATAACATGGAACTTCTAGCACTGGGTCCCTCCTAAACCTCACCCTGTGCATCCCTTAATCTGGATCACCTTGATTTCTATCCAAAATTCAGTGGAATGGGGGGTCACATCCTGACAAACCCACCATAAATAGAAAGTGTCATTTGAAAATGCATTGAGGGGCTGAAGAGATGGCTCAGCAGTTAAGAGCACTGGCTGCTCTTGCAGAGTACCCTGGTTCAATTTCCAGCACCCACATGGCAGCTAACAATTCATAATTCTAGTCCCAGGGGATCCAACCCCTTCTTCTGACCTCCATGGGCATTGTACAATGTAGGTGCACTTACACACATGCAGACAGTACATTCATACACATAAAATACAAATAGTAAATAGTTATAAAAATTTATATGAAAAAGAAAATGTGTTGACTCTACCTGGACCACCAAGCATCCTAACTAACAACATAGCATGTTGGCTGCTCATCTGCAACATCTGACCATTCACTCATGGCTACCTGGGAGCTGTGGCTAGCTGCCCAAGCCTAGAATCTTGAGTACTTGACCATACAGTTCTAGCCCAGGAAAGATCAAGATTCAATATTCCATTTCTACTGACTACATATTGCTTTTAAATCATCATAAAGTTGAAAACTGCTACTCAGGAGTTGCCTGGTGCTTTCCTACATTTGTTGAGTTATTCTAGTGAGTTAGTCTTGCAGGGATGGTGGGAACCTCCACATTTATAAATTTTCTATGCAGAAGTGTGTGCAAAGTTCTAGAGCCTGGGAGCTGGTGTCTAAAGATGGGAGGGACTGGGGAAGGACTATTCTCTTAACCTAAGCTTCTCCTAAATCTAAGTATTTAGCATCAGAATTGCATTTCAGGAAGGGAGTATAGAAAAAGGCAACTTTTCTCAGAAACAAAGATAGTGGAAAAGAGGAGAGCAGAGTCCAGCTCTAGACCTTTCTGTAACTATGCCCTCCCTCTGGGTGTCTGTAGAGAAAGAGGGTTGGAGCAGATGGTCTCTAAAGGATTGCACAGCTCCAACATTTTATGATTCTTTATGGAAGAGGATAAGGAAATGCCCTGTGAGTGCCAGGCCAGTGGCCTTCAGGCTGTAGAACACAGTAGCTTTGGGGACAGTAAGGTCAGATACACACCCTGGCCTTCATTACTTACTGTACAGCTTTTGGTAAATTATTTGATACCTCTGAATCTAAAAAGGTATGTAAGGAGTTTTTTAAAAAAATCCCTCCTACCTGCCAGGCTTGTTCAGAGGGTTAAATGACATTAAAACATTAACTGCTTATCTAGATCAGGCCTGACACATAGGAGCTTCGTTAATGTGTCTTTTGCAAATTATACAGTTCCTTGAGTAACCTGAGGTCTCATAGTTCCAATGTGTAACTGGTATCTCTTCAGGGGTGATACCAGTCTTTTGGGGACCAGCCTTACAGGACGTTTCCCCTGTTTCAGTCCCTTCTCCTGGAAGACAGGGTCCTTTTCTAGTCCTTTCCAGTTCTGATTCCCATTATCCTTTCCCACCCCACATCACTCTCCCAGCCACAGGGACCACCATATCATCTCTGAAATGCCCTCCCTAGCCACAAAGACCACAATGCCATCTCTCAGACACCCTCCCAAGCCACAGGAACCATCCAGAGCATCTCTCAGACACCATTCCCCGTCTCAGGGACCACCCGTACCATCTCTCAGACACCCCAGCCACAGGCACCACCGGTAGCATATCTTAGACACCCTCCTCTGTCTCAAGGACCACCCGTACCATCTCTCGAACACCGTATTCCTTCTCCACCTTCACTTTCAGGTTCTTGAAGCACTCCTCCATCCGGTCATGAAAGGGCCTCAGGTTGTCAGACACCCTTTTCTCATGGATCTTAATCCCAGCTCCCAGGAATGGGATCTGGAAGGAAAGATGGTAAGTGACATGCTTAGCATAAAGTGGCCTGCTAACTTTTCCAGAGAACTTCAGGGGCCTCAGAGACCCACACAGTCCCCAGTTCAGGAAATGGGGATGGCTGCAGCATCAGAGTTTTCCATGGAGGGGGAGAATGAGCTCAGTGGTTCCTGCTTCCTTGGAAGGGTAGGTTGACCACCCTTATGCTTGAGAAAAAAAATCTGCTCCCTGGAAGAATCTAAAAGGCAGAGTTCAGGGATCGGAGAGGAGGAATCTCTCACTTTGACTTGCCTAAGAAGTACTTAGAAGTACAAACGTGAACGCACAGAGGTGGGAAGCTGGGTGGCAGGGAAGAGATGTCACAGCCCATCTTATACCACAGAAGCCCAACAGTACTGTCCACGCTGCTGAAGGAAACTATGTGCTGGTACCAGAAAGTTCACTTGCCACTAGGGAGTTTCCAAAGAGTGTTGCCAAATCTAAGAAGATGGAGGAGGAGGAAAGAACTGGTGGAGAGAGATGCTGCCTTCTTCCTTATCCATGAAGGAGGTCAGTGCACTACTAAAACAGGTACATCAAAGGGGAGGGACGGAGCCACAGGGCTTGCTGCTAGAAGGAAACGTTGAGAAAGTTAATTGCATGATCCTTTGGTAAAATAACTGAAAGTTCAAAAGATGAAAGATGGATTCTTTTGAGAAAACAAGCATTTCCATCATGGTGGTGTAAAGGCATTTCTGCACCTTCCTCCTGGAGGTCCTGTAAGACAAGATGAAGAAGGAAACACTCTACTTTACAGTGAGAGGTGCAGTCAACTGTAAACCTGCCCTAACATATGTGCAGGAGGAAGTAGCTGAAAGGTATAACCCCCTCATAGAGCAGAAGAAGGAGTCCTGCTTAGAAGAGGCTACCTGGCTTTGAGGAATCCAGGAGGGGACGGAGGCAAGGATGCCACAGGAAAGCTGGGGGGGGGGCAAGGCCCAGCAGAGGGAGGGGCTGAGATTCTGCACCAGGGCAGTTCCTTTCCCAGGTAGTCACTGCCTTGCCTTGCACCAGATCTAATTTGTTCTCATTTCCCCTAGAATCTGTAATTTTTCCTCTAGAACAATTAAATCATGAAACTGGGGGCACCAGGCACGAGGAGGAGGAACCACACTGGAAATAAAGGGCTGAAAAGAAAGTGGACCTGAGGGTAGTGAAACTGCCACTTGCCAGTTCTCACATGGCCCCAGTACAGCGGCCATGACCATCTTCCCATGAAACAGCTTGAAAGATCTGCTTCTGGAGAATGTAAATGGTCCCTTGTTGGGGTATAGTGTCAAACATTTGTGGACCACTCAGTTACCAGACAACGATGGCATCCTGCTGACAGAGCCCTCTCCTACGTACACTGATTTTCAATTAGCTTCACTATGAATTATGAAGGGTCTACAGGGCTCACCAGACACTGGAGGAAATTCACCAATAGGAGAGACAAGGACATGAACTAACAGAGAAAAGAGGGCAAAGGAGGAAGGAAAGAAGGAAAAAAACAGATGAATAAACTTAAAGAATGCAGAGAAGCTTAGGATGTTGCTTAAAGATTTAGTTAATACATTATCAAAAGATTCTTCATTTATAAAGAAAAGGTTTTTATATAAAATACCAGAAATTTTACATGTGAAAATGTAAGATTTAAAGTGGATTAAATTATACCTTTAGAGTTACACATTAGAAAAAGACAGAAATTTGGTTAGCTAACACTTATCTCAAGATGTTAAGAGGTAGGAGGGGGCTAGGGTGATGCACCGAGATATAGCTCTTGCCAATGGACAGGTCATCCAGACCAAAAGAAACCAGCAAAGAAATACAAGCATTAAACTACAGAGCAAAGGGACCTGGGGTTTACAGAGCACACCATCAAGCCTGCAGAATGCACATTCTTCCTCTCTCTGCACTTCTCTACAACAGACTGTAGATGCTGAATCTCAAGAGTTTGGGTATATTGTGTTCCTGGTTTCATTTGGTTCAAGGAATTTTATAATTTCCTTTCTCAGCTTCTCAAGAACCCACTAACTGTTGATTTAAAGGTATATTATTTGGTCTCTATACAATTTCTAAAGTGTTTTACTCTGGATTTTGAGTTTCATTATATTGTGATCAGAAAGGATAAGAGAATATGGTTGCAATTAAAAAACTGTTCACATCTGTTTTATGTGAGTATGAGTGAGGATGTAGAGTTACTCGGATTCAGGTTTGTTAGCTCAGTATGTGTTGGCATGACCACTTTGGAAAACCATTTTTTTTTTTTTTGTACCAGGAAGGCTGAACTCTCATGACCCAGCAAATCTACTAGAGGTACCCTGAGGAAACAGGGGGTGTATATCCACCAGATAACACAATGATGACATAGCAACCCTACTCATAATATACAAAATCTGAAAATAACCCGTGAACATACACCAATGGGAGGATGGGCCAATAAATGATATTGTTTTTATACTGCATACTCATATGAAGCATAAAACTTAGGAACAAAAAGTCAAACCTATGATATGTCCAGCAAACTGGATGAATTTCAAGGGTATTATGTTATGCAAAAGAAACTGAACACTCAATGGCTTGAGCTGCATATTATCTGTATGACAAAGAACAGGCAGAATTAATCTTTGCCAACAGAAGTTTGGCAGTATCTACTATGGCTAGGTTTTCTCCTGTGCTATGACCAAACTCTTTCAGGCTAAACCCACCTAAGCAAAGACATACCCAGGGATATTTGGAACAGCCCCAAGCCGAAATCAACCCAATCCAATGCCAGCAGAAAAAAAAAAAATCAATAAGCACATTTGGCATCATATGATCTACCTGTATAGACTACAGGGCACAGAATGAATAAATGACAGCTCTGTGCAACAGAATGAATGGATTTTCCAAATGTAACTGACACAGAGGACTGTGTGCTATGATTCCAATTATATGTAGGTCAGAAATAATCAGGGAAAACTATGATGCTTAGGAGTGAGTGTCTGAGTAGTAAAATTCTTTTTAAAAAACCAAGAAATTATTTATATTAAAGGAGGAAAGTGATCAGCCTAGGGAGAGGTTGTAATGATACAGGAGGCCTAAGAGGGTCTGAGGAGTACCAGCAGAAATCTACTTCATCCAGATGGGAGTCATGTAGAGGGATGCTTGGTGATAAACCAAAGAGCCATACATCTTATATGTACTATTCTATAAATAGTATTTCACAACACAGAGCTTAGGAGAATAATGTACTGTAGGCATCTTTCCATACAATAAAGTGTTTACAAAGAATAAACAGATAGCTGCTAATCTTGAAATCTACACAATCTTGCAACAAAATGCACTTTGGAAACTTCACTATTAGTTGGTTTGTTAGGGATGGAAATCCATCTCTTCTTTGGAGTCTAAGATTCTTACGTTTTGAGGGAATCCCAAAGTGGATATAGTTTTGCAAAACCAGTGTCTGCCCTAGAGTTAACTTCTAACAGCTTGGCTCAAGTTTGCTCATCACTGTTTCTGTGTCACCTTGGTACTGCTCCTGACACAGTGGAGCTCAGCAAACAAGGGGAGAGCTGTGCCTGAGAGCTGTGCCCGCACCAGTAGAGCTGCACCACTGGAATGTAGGACACGTGTGCAGAGTGGGAGGGGCCTGGCCCAGTGCTTTCTCAAATCTGGGATTAAGTGGACTGTGTAACAGACCTTGGGAGCCGTGGGTTATGCTATGGAGAAGGTGGACACTAGGGGGCACTGTCTGAATGCGCCTCTTAATGACTTGGGGCACAATGACATCTAATACTTCATTCTCTATTTGGAGCCCTTCTAAATAGCTCCAAGATGTTGGTAGAATTTTCTTAGACGGTGAAGCTTCGAATCAGCTGTCCTGCAAGGCTGAGGTTCATCCATCCTCTGAAGGCAGTGAACACAGCATGGAGAAGATGTAATGACGTGAGAAGTGGGGTCCCACAGAGTCCTAGACAGTGGTATGTGCTGAGACAGCAACTATGAAGCCAATTTCTGTGACCTGTTAGTCCTCCCTGGGTGCCCCAGAAATATCCAGGGAAGGAAACCACTTACAGCCTGGCCTTCCTGCTTCCCAGGTTGGTGTGGTGAGGGGGGTGTCATTATTTGAGTATTAAAGGGTACGGATGACCCCAGGAAGAGGGAGAGATCTTAGGATATTTAAGTTTTGTGGGTGGCACAGAGAAGACAGACAGTTGCAGACACACAAAATACATTCAGGGAAAGTATGTCTGTGCAGTGTTTGGCATTTCATTTTTAAAGCCCTGCTTTGCATAAATTTGCAGAGGCAGAGAAGGACCTGAACTAGGAATCTGCATTTTAAGAAAAGAGGCTGCACCCAATGCTTCTCAGTCCCTGATTTCCTTAGAGTAACCAAACTCCCTACCACAGAAAGTGGGCTTATCTTTGCACCGTGACTGGCAAGGAAGAAGAAGGGGATGGGCAGCTGAAACCCCTGGCCTCCAGGCTCCTGCTCACCCATCACCAGCTTACCCCCTTCCACTCTTGCATCTCTGCAAAGAGCTCAGCTGTGGCAGGTTTCTGAGGAGGCTAACACAGGCCTGGAGCAGGAAAGGCCTGGTCTTTGGAAAACCCTCAGGGGAGGAATCCACTGATTGTTTCCTCTTTGGGAGAGGAAGAGAGAAATAAAAGGGGAGGGAAGGAGGGGGGGAGAGAGGGAGGGAGGGGGAGGGGGAGAGAGAGAGAGAGAAGCAGAGAGAGGAGAAAGATGTGAGGGTGTGGGAGGCAGAGCTAGGCAAGTGGCAGAGGGGAGGGAGAGAAGCAAACAGCTTCTAAGAGCAACAGACAGATGCACAGGGAGAGGGAGGGGGAGGGAAGGAAGAAACAGCAAGGAAAGGGATAGGAGGGAACAGGGAACATAACAGCAGACAAGGAAGTGGCAAGTTCTCGGGTGGGTCGAGAGGCAGCGAGGCAGATGTAGACCCTCTGACCACGAACCAGCCCAACACAGACCTTAATTATTCGCAAAACCGGATATCCATCTCTGTGCGCTCTGCAACAAACTGGGTTAGCCTCACGAAGAGGGCAGCTGGGGGTGGGGTGGGGGGGTTGGTCTTCTATTGTGCCTCATTGGTGCAAGCTGTGGTTGATGGTGGATGAGCCCCACCGTGAAAAGCCACCTCCTGAATTTAACATCAAAGGTCGCAGTCTTTACCATCTCCAGCACAGGATCACTGCCTGGCACCCTGCAACACCCAAAGGTGATGTGCTCCAAATCTGTTTCCTGGGGAGCCTGCTCAGGTATAATATGGAGGCAGAAGAGGGGCCAGAGGTGAGGAGCAAAGGACATAAAGAGCCTGGGGCCAGGGAATCTGGGCAAGGAGAGAGGCCGGGAGCACCCTGTCCAGCTGGGCTTTACCTGCCATGCAATCAGGTCCTTGAGGCGGCTCAGCTTGTCCTGGTCCTCTGGGTGTTCCCTGCTGTACTCTTCAGTGAAGAAGGCCTGAGGAGGATAGGCAGGGCTTTGGGATTTCCCACTCATTAGCAATCAATCATTGATAGCCAATCTCTCGGGCACTGGGAGAAGACTGGGTGTGAAAGGGTCAAGAACAGGGTCCCAGGCAATGGAGTGGGACCTGTAGTGACTGACATTGATTTTCCTTATTACAGGTTCAGATCAGCATCCATTGGAAACAGACTGCAAACTCAAAGTGGTTTTAAGGCCGTAGTAGCAACACCTCTGGATATTTTGGGGAACTGGGAACTTGACACACTATTTCTGGCTTCAACCTGATCCCACTGAACCAAAACCTTGGGGGTGAAGGTGGGGTGTAGGGGAAGGGACTCCTGTGTTAGGGAGCCTGCAAGGGATGTCGAGGTTCCTGGAGAATACTGCTGGGGAAAGAGAGCTGGGTAAGGAACGTCCCTTGGCATGTGTTCAAGCTCCTGGCTCCCTGCTCTGCTCCTTCCCAGGTTTCTGTCCTTATTGTGCGCATACTCCATGTGGACACACCACAGCATCACTCAAGGCTGAGTGACCACAGGGGTGTCTGAGGGTAGCTGGAAGGACTGGCTGGATGACTGGGGTCTCTGAACTTCTCTATGTACTGTGGTCCTTTTGAATTGCACCTATGAATGACAAAAGACAGATGTCAAAAACTTCACAAGGAGGTTCTGTAGGATAAGGAATCCATTCCTCCTTCAGGGTCTGTGAGCTAAAAGCCACCACTCTGCATACAACTTCATGCCAGGAAAATCTGTCTCCCTCCAGGCACCCTCACATTGACCCACAGGAGATATTATGACTCACATAATGGATAATATTTCCTTTTGGCTACCCATACTATAGAGGGTCAAATATAAAATCTTGGGCTCAAAGTGTGGCACTCCTTGGAGATGCCCTATAACTTGGGTTTCTAGATTCTGTCTCTGTCTCTGGAGTTGGTTTTCCAGTAGGCTCTCTACTTGTTCAGAGTCTGGAGTTCTTGGTTTCTTTGTGTATCTGTTACTTCAAATCCTCTGTGGAAGAGATGAGTTTGCCCAGGTGACATGGTGTGTGGCTCATGGTCACCCCAGAGCCTTTCCTGAACAGAGTTGCCTGGATCTGGCCCGATCTGCCTTGGGTCTCAAGGTTCTCAGGAACCTGCTCCTCTGTACCTAGATGTAGAATCATGCAGGAAGGAGAGAGCTCAGCTGAAACTTGACTCTCAACCAAGGTGAGTGTCCCTTTGGGGGCAAGGACAGACACAAGAGGATCAGTGCCATGCAGCTCCAAGGACCTGGAGAGGGGCCCCTCACCTTCTCATACTTGGCGAAGCCTCCCATGACGGCAGGGTCTACGATCCCATTGAGGAGCATGGAGAGCGGGTTGATGGGCAGGCTCTCATCACTCTGGTACTGGTTTATCATCATCAGGATCTTCTCATTGGCCGTGGACATGGTTTCAATGGCATTCTCCAGAGGACTAATTGTGGTCTGTTGAAAACAAGATCCACAGAAGGCCCTTAAGTGGGTGGTCTGAGAAACCAACATAATCTTTGGTATTGATTTCACTTAGGTGGGAATTAAAAGACAGCTCTCACTCTCCAGGCTGCAGGATGATCTGAGTGTGATGAGTTAGGTCTGGATACCGTCTGCTAGCCAGGGACAGACAGACTAGCTCTCTGCTTGAAGGGAAGGGATTTCTTTGGGGAGGCAGAGGCAAGGGAATGCCAGGCTCTGCTAAAGCCTCAGAGGCAGAATGTGCCCAGAAAGAGTTTCTCTCCCAGTTCAATAGGCAGAACACATGCCAGCCTAACCCATCACATAAAGATTGAGAGGCACCGTTGTTTGTGCTACTGGCCAGAGAACAGTTTGCCATAGGAGCATCCAGCCTGGCACCCAGCAGGTCCTGAGACTGGGAAGGGTGGCCACTCGAAGGTAGATGCACCTACTTCAGTTAGGAAAGAAGATTAAAAAACTCTCCCACACATCTCAGAAAGCAATATAAATAGTGGTATCAAATGACAGCAAACACTGCAGTTTGCAGAAGCTTAGGGTCTGGACTGAAAACTAAACTAGAGGTCGGCAAGTAAATATTTTAGGATTTGCTGCCCAGATGGCCTCAGCTGTAGATACTGGACTCTGTGACTGCAGGGCAGAAGCAGTGGCCAGGAATACTGGATGGAAGAGCTTGGCTGGTCCCATCTAGCTCTTCACAAAAGTAGGAGCAGGTAGGATGCAGCCCAGGGCCCACAGCACGCCAGCCAATGGCCTGGTTGAATTAGAACTGAGTACAAACTTCAGCGCTCTGGTTTTCTAGCTGTGTAACCCTGGACAAGTATCCTCAAGTTTCTGAGCCTCAGATGGTTCTCTGGTAAAACAGGAGTAAGAAAATGTACTTCAGAGAGTTACTGAGTGCTACTGCTCTTAATGCTCACAGGTTTTGGGATAGAACATAGCTGTGTACGAAGATGGGAACCTCACTGGTGGGAAAGGTAGGGCTAGAGGGAAGGGGCAAGAAATCTGAGAAGCCTCCCTGGAGAAGGGAGCTTCATACAGCATCTCTGTCATGGTGTGATGTAGTACCTGCCTCGTTGGCTATGTAGGGAAGATTAATTGTGATAATACAATACCTGACATATCAGAGTGCTTTAAAAATGTCACTTGCTAATTCTTGTACCTATTGAATATATGAAGGGGCAACTCGGCCTCTGCAGCCATGTTCTTAAGTCATTTCTTTACATCTCTATATAATCACAACGTCCTCTCTCCTTTCTCCCAAGTTAATGCTTTTGGAGATGGACGCTCCTGCAGTGAGAAGTCCCTGAGAGCAGACTCTGTCACTACCACTATCATTTTGTCACCCACTGTTATCGGTCAGCTTCATGTTACTGCAACAACACACGTGGGGATTAACTTAGAAGAGCAAAAGGTTTGTTGTGCTGATAGTTCTGGAGGTGCAAGTCTAAGATCCAGCAGTTTCCTGGTTTGGGTCCCTGGTAAGGGTACCAGATGGGTAAGAGTGGAGTGTATGTAAGAGCAGATCATGAGCCAGGAAACAGAGACTGAGAGATTGGGGTCCCCACTCCTTTTTAATGCATATCTCTTATGATCTAAGAGCCACCCCAAAGGCACTGCCCTCTTTTAAAAATTACTTTTATTATTTTTATTTACGTGTCTGCATCTGTGTGAGTGTATGTCACTGCGTCACATGCTGTACAAATGCCCAGAGGCCAGAAGAAGGCATGAGATCCCTTAGAGCTGGAGTTACAGGCAGTTGTGAGCAGCCTGACATGGGTACTGTACAGGAAGAAGAGCAAGCAGTCCTAACCTCTGACCCCTCACTGTGGTCCCAGGCACTGCCTCTTAAAGGCCCATAGTACCTTCCAACACCACCACCCTGGGGTCTGAGATTTCACATATGGACTTTTGGGGGATACATTTAAATTATAGCACCCACATATATACACACACCTACATAAACACACACGCCTACATTCACACACATGCACATAAGCACACAGTGGGAGCTGAAGAGGAATGCTGCTCAGTCTGGTAGGGGCCATAGTTCATTATCTAAAATTAAAACCCATAGTCAAGTTTGTGTTGCGTATGCAAACGAAACCCTGGGGAGTGTTGCAAGGCTGAAGTCCAGAATAGGTTCTAAGGAAAATCTACCCCTAGTGCTGAGGAGACCACCACTGTACCTGGAGGTCAACAATTGCCTGGCATGTCTGCAAGATGCAGGCTTTGAGGCACTCGACCCATTTGCCTGCTCACTTTTGAGACTATTTTTGAATTCCCAAACCTGAATCCTCATTATAACCATCAGGAACAGAAACTGAGACTGAGAATTAAAAGAATTTTGGCTTCCCACCTTCAGCCATTTGTGTAGAGCAAGCGCACAGCTCTGAGTGGAGATTTGGGCACCGTAGTGGAGGGATGCCTGGGTGCCAGTTGCTGATCACGAGAATGAAAAATCACAATCGTCATAATCATAGAGATGGCTCCATTTACCAATCACCTGCCAGACCAGGAATGCTCCCGTCAGTCCCCCAAGGACAGGCAAAGTGATGTACCCGAGGGCAGTAGGTGGCAGAGCTGGGGTGGGAACTCAGGTGTTCTTGGCTGCAAAGGCTGGTGTCCTAGTTTGTTTCTCCATTGCTGTGACAAAACACTCTGACCACTATCAACTTGGGGAGGAAAGGATTTACTCAGCTTACATCTCCCAGTTCGCATTTCGTCAGGGAGCCCAAGGTAGGAACTCAGGGCAGGAACCTGGAGGCAGGAGCTAGAGCACAGGCTAAGGAGGAACTCTGCTCACTGGCTTGCTCTCCTGGCCCCTGCTCAGCTTGCTCTCTAATCCAACACAGGCCCATCTGCCCAGGAGTGGCACCACCCACAGTGGGCTGGGCCCTCCCACATCACTCAACAATCAAGAAAATGCCCCACAGACATGGCCACAGGCCAGTTCAATGGAGGCAATTCCTGATTGAGGGTCCCTCAACGGAGGTGTGTCAAGTTGACACTAACGCTATCCAGCACAGCTGACTTGCTCTCTAATCCAACACAGGCCCATCTGCCCAGGAGTGGCACCACCCACAGTGGGCTGGGCCCTCCCACATCACTCAACAATCAAGAAAATGCCCCACAGACATGGCCACAGGCCAGTTCAATGGAGGCAATTCCCGATTGAGGGTTCCTCAACGGAGGTGTGTCAAGTTGACACTAACGCTATCCAGCACAGCTGGGCTCTGCTACATCCACATCAGGCTCTGTCAATAAACCTGCTGCCAGCTGGCTGTTGAGATTGCATCAGGCTCTCGGCTCCCTCTTTGCTAAGCTGAGCCTCAATTTCTATGCGCAGCAGTCATAATAACCCATGTTCAACTTTCTATGAAGGGAAAATGATGTGAGAAACAAATGTGAAAGTGTCAGTGTGGGCAGGGGGTGACCTCTATTCCCTGCAAGTCAGTGGCCTTTCCAGTTGCTCAAAGGCCTCCCATGAATATTGCCTTCTTGAATCCACCCAAGAATCCTATGAGCTGCATGGGGCAGTGACTATTGCCTCTAATTCTGACATGGATTGTTTGGCAGTTCAAGCCCCGGCACCTAGGCAAAATGGTTCAATTGGACAGGAATCGGAAAAAGGCAGGTCACCTCACCCTGCATAGCTGCATAGAAAGGTTTGTCACTTAACACACACTGGCTAGGATTTCTCCAAAGTTAACTCAGTAGGACCAGGGGCTGGCTACTTCCATTTGACTGGTGGCCTCATATGACTGTTTTATCTTAGGGGATTCTGAAGGTATCTGAGCTTTGGAACCCAGCGGTTCTTGGCATCCACTCCAGATCTGAAATTCCATGTTTTGCCATTCCTGTTTTACAGGTGATGTAACTAAGTACTCCTCCTCACACAGTCATTAATGACTAATGTGAATTGTCACTTTCCTAGATTAAGGCTCTTTGTAAAGACTGCAACAGGGTAAAGCCCTCAACAAATAGGAAATGCTCCTTTAAACACACAGTACTGAGGTCATGGCGCTGCATAAAGGGAAGAACAGAGAACGAGATAAAAGTCCATATAACAAGAACAAAATGCTTAGAAGGAAATGCCATCACTTAGCAGGGTGTTACACTCCCTGAGACAGCTTGCAATTCTTGACAACTCATTTATGGGAGAACAAGTCAAATGCACCCTGACCAGCCCTTCAGATGTTTTCACACCTTTTAGTAGGTCTATTAGTTACTTTTACATTGCTGTGACAAAACAACCAATAGAAACAAAAGGAGGAATACTTGATCTGGGCTCACAGTTTCAAAGGATTTAGTCTGATGGTGCGGAGGGCATGGTGCAGTACATTACAAATACAGCAGACTGGAAGCAGGGAGAAGGAGGGCTGCCATCCGTCTGGCTTCCTTATCTACCCTTTTATTGTCTGGGTCTGCAAACCGTGGGATGGTACCACTCACATTCAGAGTGGCTCTCCCTGTCTCAGTTAATTTTTTCTGCAAATAGCCTCATAGACACAGCTAAAGGTGGGACTTACCCATCTTGTAAGTGATTCTAAATGCAGTCAAGCTGACAATGAAAATTAAGCATCACAGAGGACATCGGAATGAAAGGAACAAATAAAAAATGCTGCCTCCTTCTTCCCTGATTTCATAATCCTGAAGTCATAATATAAGGTCACTATTTAGACACAATTGGGTGTTGGCATAGTAATTGACCAGTTGATTTATTTAAATATTCTTGAGAGTCAATTGTGGGCTTGAGGCTATTCTTGGCACTTGAAGCATGGCTAGGAATAGAATAATAGAACAGACAAAAAATATCTGCCTTCCTGGAGTTTACATTTTGGTGGAGTCTAGCATCTAACACTGTGTTTAACATTTGATTAATAAACACTGAAAATAAGCACTCAGGAAAGCATGTAATCTATTAGGAAGTGATGACTCCTTTGAAGAGAAAAACAGCAACAAAGGGATAGGCAGCCTGGGTTCGTGACAGTCCAGCAAGAACAGCTGGAAAAGAGACACCTTGCAGAGTTAACCAAGGATGCACCCAGCCAGGGCCAATAGTCAGACTACTGGCTTCTAGAAGACACCCTCCCCTCAAGAACAGGGCTCATAATGGTACAGTTGTCCCTCAGTATTCATGAAGGACTGGTGCTAGCACCCTCTGAGGATACCAACATCCACAGATGTTCAAGTCCCACATATAATATGGCATAATAATTTCAGATCACCTACACACATCCTCCTACAGACTTTCAATCCCCTGCAGACTGCTTGCCAGTGAATCCAATACAAATGCCATGCACATGGCTGTTTTATTGCATTGTTTAGGGAATGACAAGAATGCAACTTTTTAAAATTTTCAGTCAGTTGATCTGTGGAGGGGACCTGTGCATGCTGAGTGTCAACTGTACACTCCTCACAGGGTTTTGTGAGATCATGTAGGATAAGGCTGTGAAGCCTTTGACACAGTGCTGGGGGACATTAGTTGACACTTACCATGTGCTAATGTGTCTTTTGAGCCAAGAGCATGGTATTTGCTTCCTTTCATGGGTATTTCTCCCTTGGGTGGGCAGGGGATGCTCTGAGGAGAGGAATGCCCAGGCAACGAGATGATACAGGAGTTTGAAGTCAAACACTATCACTAACCTTCCACAACTCACAAACTCACTCTGTGCCTCAGAGCCCTCCTTTGTAAACAGAAAGAATAAGAAGAACCAGTCTCGAGGAGTTATCGGGGCTTTAAATGAGATCATGCCAGTGAACAGTTTAGCACATACTTAATAAATTTTTAATGCATTTTTATTTTTAATCATGATGTGGGTATGTGCATGTGAGTGCAGTGCTCCAGCAGAACTGAACTTATGGACAGTTATTAGCTGCCATGTAGGTGCTGGGAGTTGAACCTGGGTCTTCTGCAAGAACCACCAGTGTTCTTAACTGCTGAGCCATCTCTCCAGCCCCAACACTTAATAAATTTTTGCCCAAACGATTATTGTTCTTTTTCTCTGAGGTATAAGCCATACCTAGGAAGAAAGAGGCTGCAGAGCTCCTGGCCTCCTAGCTCACTAGGAAGGAGGACATTAAAGGCTGGAGTTGGGTAATCTCAATGCTGACAACACAGTAGCTTGAAAATATCAGTCAGACCACATTCTTCCTCTGCACATAGCTCTTCTAGAGAAGCCAAAGTGTTTCTAAGGTCCTAGAGAATCTATTATCTGACTGTTGTTATTCACCCCTTGGTTGTTCTGATTTGGACATACTCCTGTACCAACCTTTCCCTCTAGTACAGTGCCCCTCTCTCTATTCTATATCTCATGGACTGCTTCCTCCCAGCCTTCTGACCTCTGTTCAAAACCACTGTGGCAGGGAAGCTTTCTCTCCCCATACTATTGACTCCTATTATTTTCCCCATCATGATTAGCATCATCTGGTATATTATGTATATATCTGGTATATTATTTTAGTCTGTCTCCCTCACTAGAATAAAAGTCACATTGTGGAATCTCTAGGTCACAGAACAGTATCTGACATGTGTTAGGTACCCATAAGGTAGTTTTTGAATGAATAAATAATTGAGATATCCCAAATATGTTGGGGTATCCTCCTGATCATGGTGGTCCATCAAAAGGATTTTGGGAGCCACATGACCCTTAGCTAACTGAGGGCAGAGAAACTTGAAGGTGTGTTAAGAAGCAAAATATCTGCTCTTAAGCTTGTGGGATGGCTCAGTGGGCAAATGTGCTTGCTGCCAAGCCTGGCAACCTGAGTTTGATCCCCAGAACATACATGGTGGAAGGAGAGAACAGATTCTGGAAGTTGTCCTGACCTCAATATGTGCATCATAGCATGTACACACACACACACACACACACACACACACACACACACACACACACGCACGCACGCACGCACACACGCACCCTAAGTAAGTAAATCAATAAATGTGACTTCAAAATATATTTGCTATCTTCTCAAGGAAGCCGTATCTTCTGGGTTCAGTCACACTGGCTCTCTGTGATTTCCCCTCTCTCAGCCTTAGCTTATCTATTCAGAAAAATGGCTCACAGTGAGATATCCCAGAGTGTCATACTGCAGAGGTAACCTCTTAGGACTGGATGAAAGACCTAAGGGTGATAGGCAGATGGACTTCCAGGGCTTCTGTTTCATCCCTGCTCCCCACCACAAAGGTGTTCCCCATCCACCAGTTTAATTACTGGAGTCCACAGGAACTATCGTTTACTGGGAGTAAAAACTTATCTAATGATGAAAAAAGTATGAAAGCAGATATTCTGGGCATCTACTGTGGGATTTCAATGGGACCTTCTGATATAAACTGTTCTTCAAAAAGTCTAAAGGACTTCCTGAGGTTGCTGTGCCCTGTCCACCAGAGAGGGCTTCCCATGAGCACCCCAAAACTCACCTGGGACATGTGCACCACCTCAAACCAGCGCAGGATGCCAGGCAGCTTGTACGCAGTCAGGAAGGAGGTCCTCTCAATCCACATGGACTGGTGGGAGAAACGTAACATGCTGGTGAAACCGGGTAGGAGCAAAGCCAGTGCAAAGCCAGCCAGGCCCCAGTGGCCTCCCGTGCAGCCAGAGCAGAAGAAAAGTTGCAATTTCTAGAAACAGACTGGCACCTCCCTGAGGGATTCTTTACTAGCAGGAGGTTTGCTCTTTCCCTGGACTTAGACCAAGTAGCTCTATCCCCACGACTGACAGTCTAAATTCTTAGGTAACTTTGAATATGCCCATTTATGTAGTCTGGGGGAGGGTCCACAGTGTTCATTAGATTCTCAAAAGGGTGGTGACTACTAAAATATTAAGAAACACAGGCAAAGGCCAGGAGCTGAGGGAAACTCGGAGTCCCTCCTCATCCCAGTCTTGGTCTTGGTGAGAGAAGACGGACAGGTCCTTGCCGGGAAGCATAGGACTAGCACACTCTATGACTTTTCATGAGTCTACTGGAAGCCTTGCTTCAGCCACATCTTTTATTAGCTGGAGGGTTCTACCTGCTGGAAATGCCTGAATACCCTTGGCTGTCGAGGTCATCTGACAGGAGCCCAGGTCAAACCTCAGAAGGCAAAACACTCAAAGAATGAGAAGACCCAACAGGACTGTCATCTGTGATGTTAGTGCCACCTTCCTTGACTCTGGATTAAGTTCCCTACCACCTGGGGTTGTGTTCTGGTTGCTGAAGGTGGCAAGGGAGGGGAGATACTCACAGCAAATTCATTCTCGGGGTCCACAGTGCCCCTGCGCACGGGCCTGGAGTAGTTGAACCTTTGCACATAGTTGGACTTGTAAAAGCTGAAAGACAGGAAGGAGTTGGAGTTCCTCGTAGCCATGCCTAGTGCCACTTCAAGCACCAGGTCTGGCCCTAGCCATTGTGATAGTGTGTCAGGGTCTGTGTTCTAGGCTCCATAGAATTGATTTCCAGGAAAGGCCTTTTAGAAGATGGACTGGTCTTATACCCTTGAGCATCCAGGAACTTGCAATTCTGGCACTAATAAAAACTAATTCCCCTTGAAGGATATAAATAGATGAAGGGACCTAGCAGAATGTCCTTAAGGTGACCTCCAAGGATTTCTTTAGGAATTCCAATTATCCTCCATTCCTCTTTGTGAATCTGTAGGGAGGATTTAACATCATTGCCAACAGGGCACTGTGCTTGTTCTAGAGTTATCCCCTGCCCACAGGTGCCTGGCCAAGAGGACCGAGTGAGGCTATGTTGTGCCTGCTCCATGATGCTGGAGTGAGGCTGCTGGAGAGGCTGCATCTCCTCAGGGAGTTTTATCGTTGAACTGTCCACTGAGAAAGGGGTGAGTTGGGCAGTAGGGGGGATACAGCCATGGGCCCCATGGACCCCACCTCATGGCCTACTCAGCAGTGGCCTTGCAATCTGGTACACCTGCCTTCCTGGTGCTTACACTAACGTCCCTTTATCATAGTCAGAACATATCCACTATCAAAAGAACAACCTCAGCAAAGGCTGAGAAAGATGTCCCTTTAGGAGAATGTGTCCAGCATACCCAAGGCCCCCTATTTCATCTCCTACTTTGTCTGTCACCTGCCCATCCCACACTCTTTGGTTTCTTGGGTCCAGAGTCTCTTTGGGGATCAGTCTAAACAACAGGTTCCCCAAGTCAGTTAAGTTCAGTGTCTACTAAGGATTCACTGTGCACAAAGTAGACATAGCCCCATCTCTCTCATTCACCTCTGGCTTCAGTCTTGTTAGAGACAGAACCCAGCTATAACTGGAGGCAATTCTTCACAAAGGAAAAGTGTAAACACACTGGCTTAGGAGGAAAGAGTACTGGGGCTTGTCCTGCTAAGCTCAGATAATGACCCTTTGGAATCCTCCCTGTTCCTGGTCCAGTGGGCTGTAGGTCTTACTTTATGATCTGGTCAGGCACCGGCTTGTTCTTGAACCTGGGGTGTTCATCCAGGACAGGCTGCACAGTAAAGCACTGAATATCTGTCATCACCAAAGTTAAGGACTTAAAAGGTGTCTGTTGGCCACCAGATTGTTCCAAAGGTAGCATGTCTAACTGAGAATGTCAGGTCATTCCCTCTGAGACCACACTTTTATTCAACGATCAGGTATCTGGCTTCCTATAGGGTCCTAATGACACGTTAGCAGTAACCATGATCTTTATCAGAGCTGCCCATCCCTTTGCAATCCTATCACAGGGCTCTGTACCTGCTTACAGAATTGGCTAGCAGTCCTTAACCTTCATTATCAACTCTCCCCATGGTCACCTTTGATTGCTCCGATTCCACCAAATGTCACTGTTAAATTAAGTTCTCACTGTTGGCTCAGAAAGGCTAGGCAACTTGTTTAAGGTCACACAGCTTGGAAGAAAAGAACAGGGATTTATATTTAGGTCTTTTAGCCCCATGATTAAAATTCTTTAGACATGGTCTATCTACATCCTTCGCTGGAGCCCACAGGAAACAGTGACACAAGTGACCCTGGGTGCATTAGTGCCAGAATTCCAACTGCCTCGATACTCTGGAGGAGCTGTGTTCTCATAGGATTACAAGGCAGCTACCTTCTAGGAGAGCCCCATCTGAGACCTTCCTATAAATGGTGTCTTTCCAGTCCTCCCTCAATCTTTCTGAGTTAGGTTCTATATTTTAAAAGCTCTTGGGTGATGTATATTCATGATTGAGTCCGAGATATGCTACTTCAGAACATGTAAACATAGGTCATTTTGTTCTCCAGCTCCAAAAACTTGAAGGAGACAACCTCTAGTAGGAAGGAAGAATTCCTGTCTAGGAGCGGCTGGAAGCAGGTCCATGATTGATTAGTGATGCCTGCCATCAGCACAGGATACAGGCTGGCAAAGTCTTATATGGGCTAGGTCTCTGTCTTGCCTTATCTAACCTGTCTTTACTCATTTTAAGCTAGTAATATGACAAACCCAATGAACAGCCAGTGATCAATGGTTCCATCCTTTAGCCCTGCTTTTCCCTATTTTCTATTTCTTCTTCCTCCATCTCTCTTTAGTCACTCACATTATTCCCTCCCCCTGTTCTATCTAAAGACGACTACAACTTTAAAAGTCTTTGGGGGCTGGAGAGATGGCTCAGCGGTTAAGAACACTGGTTGTTCTTGCAGAAGACCTGGGTTCGAATCCCAGCACCCACATAGCAGCTAACAACTGTCCATAACTCCAGGGAATCCAACAGCCTCTTCTGTCCTCCGCAGGCATTGCATGACACGGGTGCACTTACATACAAGCACACAATACACTCATACACATAAAATAAAAATACTGAATAAAATATTAAAAAAAAAGTCTTCCCTGGGCCTGACACATCTGCCAACTAAGGAATTAAGAGCTCCTCTTGCAACACTGTGGTTGCTATGACCCATTTTAGCATCAATAACTCTGGACAGTTAACAGGTTCTCCTGTTCCCTCTGCTTGGAGCATGTTCCTTCCCCAGCATCTCTCCCCTGTGTACTCTGCAGACAGACACCAAATGCTCTCCTCCATGAAGACTAACCTCTCTCAGTCAGGAGCTGTTTCCTTGCATGGCTCCCTATAGCATATGTCCATATATCTTAGGATCTACTCTGTGTCTCCACCTTCTTCCCTCCCCTGTCCCCATCTCCGAGAGAGTGAGCTTTTGGATGAGCTACACTTTCTTCAAATGCAGGAAATGACAAAAATAAGTCCAAACCAAATTCGGTTGCCTCTCTGATGAATTTCCTCTATGCTAGTACCACGGGATTTAACAGTTTCACCTCTGAAGAGTTCTTCACATGGACCAAGGATTCTTCAAAGAGAGGCTAGTGTTGAACCCAAAGGATCAGTCTTGCCAGAAGCATTTCTGCAAACTTTAGGAAAGCCCTGAACTCCTTATCTAGCCACCTGCTCTGGGAGAGAATTCCCTCTGGAATAAGCAGCCGAGGGCAGGGACTGGCAGACTACGGTGGGCTGGATCCACTTCACTGCCTATTTCTGTGTGGCCATAGCTAAGCATAGATGGCCTATTTTCAAACAGCTGTGATATGTGAAAATGCTGTAAGGTTCAAAGGATCAGTATCAATAAATAAAGTTTTATTGGAACACAGCCACCAGTTGCATGTTATCAGTGACTGCTTGCTTACTACATCAGCTGAGTAGTTGTGACAGGGAGCGCATGACCCTTGAAGACTGACCTTTACAGAAAAGTTTTCTAATACCTCTTTTAGAGCGGATTCTAGGTCATGTATATGGATCTGAGCTGCTGGCCCTGATCCAAGAGGAGATTCCAAACCTGTCCTCAAAAAGCTTATGATGTTGGTACTCTCAATAGTTAGACTCTCATGCCAGGTGCACGGATTCACAGCAACAGCAGACCTAAGACTTTGCTTCCAAGTGCCTTTCCTCACCTGGACACCTGGGCAGAGATATAAAGTCTGTCACTTTCCAAAACTATGTGTTGGCATTCTAGCAACTGAAGGTTAGAGGGTAGTGTTAACAATTCAAGACTTTGGCCAACAGGAGGCCTGAGTTCAAATCCTAGCCCCACTGCTTCCTTGCTGTGACACTCTATGAGCCATTTGCTTTCTGACTCTCAGTTTTTCTACTAGCAAAGTACATAGAGCAATACTAGCCAACTTAGAGGCTTATAATGAGGGAAAGGGGGAGCAACGCCTGGGAAATGTCTAGTTCATGGTAAACAGTTAATAATATTCTGGTTCCAATCTTAAAATGAATAACGGTATAATAGAGCAAAGATTTGAAACCAACAGAAGTTGAAATTCAAAACCCAACCCCTTTCTCTAACTAGCTTTATACCCCTAGGCAAACATTCCTCTTGATTAGAGAGAGGTAATACCAGTGGTTTAAGGAAATAATGTTAATAGAGCATTCAACCTCATGAAGAGGAGACCTGGTAAGTATCAGCCCTTCCTCTTTGCTTCCCCAACTCATTTCATTTCCGGCACCAAACCAGGCCTTGGGCCCCTAAATATGATGTCATAGCCAAGGACACATGTTCTTTCTTCCATGCTCTACTAAAAGGTCACACAACTGTTGAACACCAGGACGTCCATTAACAGGGCCTTAGAACTAATCTGGGTATCACATGTAACCAAATTTGTCTTTGCTGCCAGCCCGCCACCACCAGTTGCACTTCCTCCCACAAATATTCATGGTAGGGCAGACATGAAGGGCAGGCAGGCATAATGAAAAGGTTACTGAAGAATATTTATTACTCGAGGGAAAAATATTTGGATTAAGGTTCACCAGACTGAGCAGAGCAGTCATGCAGCCTGTCACCTGACTTTAAAGCCTTTAACTTCATCTTTCTAAAGGATGGGATACAGGTATGGAGCCTTGCTGAGGTCATATGCTCCCTGGCTCACAGTCACCTCATCATGGCAAAGTACCTCCTTCATCCATAATCCCACCTCCTGCCAGTGTCAGCACCTGGCCTTATGGACACGCATCACTGCTCACCTCTGCCACACCATCCTGTGCCATACCGTCCTCACCTCCCCAGCCTCAACTCCTGTCACCTGCACACTGCTCTGTGTACTCTAGGTAAGTGGCTCCCTCTCTGCCTCCTTCCTTCCTTGTCTGTCTCTCTTTTTGCTTTCTCTCTTGTTTGTTTCTTTTCTTTTTTTTCCTTTTTCCTAGGCACTGAATGTTTTCCCAGAGTAGGCTTTGTGCAAGGCACCATGGAGAAGGGGGTGTGAGATACAGGCAGCCCAAATGTCTTTTCTTAAGGACCTGATGTTCCTCTTACATTCATGTATCTTTAAAAAACAAATGAGGGCTGGAGAGATGGCTCATGGTTAAGAGCACTGGCTGCTCTTGCAGAGGACCCAGGTTTGATTCCCAGTACCCACATGGTGGCTAACAACTGTCCAAAACTCCAGTTCCAGGGACTCCAACACCCTCTTCAGACCTCTGTGGGCATTGCGTGGCACTGGTGCACCTGCATGCAGGGAATACACTCATACACATAAAATAAACAAATAACAATAAAATCTAAACATCAAACAAAAGAGAACAAAAAATCAAAACAAACAACAGAAGAGTCAAACGAAAGAAAACACAGTGGCCTGAGATCAGAGGGTCATGAAGAGTCCAGAAAAAGCCACTTTAAATAAGAAACCAAAGAAAAGGTCTTCCTGGAAGTGACACCAAGTTAGGATCTGACAGGTGAGTAGAAATCAGGTGAGTCAAGAGCTGGAGGAACAACATTCTAAACACAGGGACAAAGGTGGGAAAGGCCTCGAGGTGGGAACAAGCAGTCACATCTGTGGGACAGAACAAGAATGCTGTGGGAAAGGGTCCTGAGAACAAGAGGAAGGAGCTGGGGATGAAGATGCTAGACAAGTTGGGGTCAAGTCAGGGAAAGCCTTGAAGGCTGGCTCAGGAGTTTTGGTTTTATCCTATTAGGGTCATCTCAGTCTTTAGCAAAGTCCTTTGCGTACAGCATCCTCCCCTCTGTCTGGGACATCTCTCCAGCTAACACTAAGTTTCGGCTGCTTACATAAACATCAAGGAAGCTTTCTCTGTCAGTGGCAGTATCTTACATACTTTCCCCTTGGCATGGGTCAGAGTGTTATAAATAAATATCTGATAGTGTAATTCACCATCACTATCTCTTTTACTACTAGAGCTACCCTACAGCCCACTAAAGGAAGACCACTTTGGGAGCACAGCCTTGCATAATGCTGGGTACAGAGCCAGATTGTTCATGATAAGAACAAAGGGATGAGGGAGGACTGAGTTCACTTATAAGTGTGGCATCCTGAATGCACAGCTGCCTCTCCATATGCACAGGGGATTGGTTCCAAGACTCCCAATGGATGCTCAAGCTCCTTACATGAGATATGCTTCGTATCTACAAAATTTCCCATATACATTAAAGCATCTCTAGATGACCTACGACGCCTAACAGAGTAAGCCTACATAAACAGTTGTTATATTGTGGACAGGATAATGACCTAGTTTTTTTCTCCAAACATTTTCAGTCTACAATTGGTTGAATCCATACATATTGACCCCAGCTATACTGAGGAGGCTTCTCTGAATCCCACAGCAGCCACTAAAATCACTATCCAGTGATTCTGGCATCAGTTCTAAGCTCCATCATGGGTCTCAATGGACCAGTGTCTCTGTAGGGCTGGCCATGGCTGGCCCTCTTGTTGGAACAATCTCCAAGGATACACTGGCCAGGGGCGTTCTTTACGTCATCTCCGGGGGCAGAAGTTGTGTTCATCTTCTCTGCATTAGGAAACTGGCTCATCAGCTGCATTTGGAAATCTTCTCTTCGCTCATACTCCTTCCCTCGGTAGATGAACACTTTGTTCTGCGGAGAAAGGACACCTGTCAGCGATACCAGGGCCCTGGGCTTAAGGAGGAAGCTCAGGATGATCTGAGAGGCTTGTGAAATGAACATGGGACTGGGGGACGGGGGCTTCAGGTATATCATTCTCCCCTCAGCGTCCCTGACAGTGAGATGAGGGGTTCAACTCACTGAACTAGCTGGGCAGGCTGCTCCCTTAAAAGGCCTGGTTCTAAAGGGCAGGGAGACCATGGGTGCCAAAGATCTTTTTCAGAGCAGTCCACATACAGTTTCTGAACTAATCCACTGTGTCACGCCCACTTTCCTATTTACTTGCCCACAAAATTTCCCACCTGACCTTAATGGGCCATGAGTTGGCAGGAACCAACATCCAGGCTCCTTATCACCTGGCTCCTGGCCCTGAGCCCATGGAGATACAGTCTTTATCTTTCCCTAACCACATTAGCATCTTCTAGAACAGAAGTCATAACCAAGGATGATATGGGCCATCAGGGAACATTGGTAGTTCCTGAAACCATTTTTTGGTGGCATAAAACTAACGGTGAAGATCCTATTGGGAGTTGGGGATGAGGCCAGGCATGTTTCTGACCACCCCACGATGCACAGGGCAGCCCCCACAACCAAGCATTAACAGGTTCCAAGTGGCTCTAACACCCAAAGTGAGAAACCCTATTCCAGACCATGGCGGTACCATCTTTGATTTCTCTAATGGCAGCTAAGTTCCTTTGTCCAAACCCGAGCTTGTTGCTATTATGTGCAACACCAAGCTATCTGGGTATCAGAGGATCCTGGGGACCTTTTAAAGTTCAGATTCCCAGGCCTCACTCCAAACCCACTAAAATGGAGTCTCTGGAAATCAGCCCAGAAATATGCATTCAAAACAAGTTCTTGGCAGATTTTGATGTATAAACAGGTCTGGGAAAGCCACTTCTACTTCACCCAGAATGCCTTCCCCATCCAGCCTACCCACTGCTCATGGCCATTGCTCAAGCCCCCTGTGACCTTCATGTTGACTGATAGCAGTGAATGACCTGTCTCCTAGACTAGACTGTAAAACAAATGAGATTTGCCATTTCCATGGTGTTATTCTGACCCTGGATTTACAGTGCAGACTCACAGTCTAGCAATAGTCCTGTGGATGACCCAGTGCAAGCCGCACACAGTGAATGAAGTGGAGATTCAGAAATGATGCTGCAGGGACCCCAGATCCTTTCAGGGGCCCACAGAATCAAAACCAGGTTCATAATGATACTAAGGGTGTCCTTAAGAGGCAGCTTTCCAGAGGCACACACGCTGCGACTGAAACAGCACATGAATGTGGGCGTGGGAATCGAGCTGTTTGGCCTCAGGTTTGGCTTTAAAGACATGTGCAGAAATATCAATCGGTTTTGCTCTTCTCAATGATTTTTGTTCATTTGATTGGTCGGTTGTTTGAGACAGGGTCTCGCTATGTAGCCCAGGCTAGTCTAGAACTTTCTATATAGACTAGGTTGGCCTCTAATTTGTAGCAATCTCCCTGCTTCTGCCTCCTGGGTATGGGGATGACAAATGCTCTTCGCTGATTTTTTTAAGTTGGGAAAATGTAGCTATTATTTTTCTAAAAACGTAATTCATGTTAACATGTGATAGACTTATTGCCATGTTAAAATAACTCGCCAGATAGTTTTAATTTTTCTTAGTTTCCACTTTTCATATGATACACATATGTAGAGTTAGTCTACCAATTTAGACGTGCCTTGCCTCTTCAGTAACTTTTTAAATACTTTATTATTTCTATTTTATGTGTATGAGTGTATTGCTTGCGTGTATATGGGTGCACCCCTGTCGTACAATGCCACAGAGGTCAGAAGATGGCTTTGGATTCCCCTGGAACTAGAGTTAAGGACGGTTTGTAACCACCACGTGGGTGCTGGGAATCGAACCAGGGTCCTCTGCAAGAGCAGTCAGTGCTCTTAACTGCTGAGTACTTCAGCCCCTTCCTCAATAACTTTTAAAGAATAAAGGGATTTTGACAACCATATTTGTCTGGGACTACCTCTCTGTAGTAATTCCTTGGTGGCTGAAAGGATCCTACCTGGTCTTTGAATGCCTCCTTCCTACAACAGGGCACCTGTACTTTCCAGGCAGCAACAGTTGCTGTGTAACCAGCAGGTTACTGCTGCTGGTAGTCAGGATGGAAGGGCTCCCCATGGAGTCTACTGGAACAGTCCTCAGACAGAGAAGACCTCAGCCCCTGAGCTGTGAACTCCCAACTACAAGCAGACCCTCAGAACACACAAGGACAGCTAAGGTGCTAAGGCCCTGGAACCCTAGCCTGAATCACATACAAACGCACCCGCAGAAAGGAGGGGAATCCCTGGCCATAGTAGCCAACAGCAAAGTAGTCAGGCTTAGGCCTGAGGATCTTCATGATGTTTTCATAGAATTTTGCCTGCTGAATCTGAAAGAAGAAAACATGGCTTGTAACAACAATATGACACAGATGTGTAGCCAAGGCACATTCAGCTTAAAGAGTTCAGTTTTAACACTACAGTCAGCCCAGATCCAGCATGCCAAATGCACATAATCACACCTATCAGAATGTCTGTGATCATGATGGTTCCAGCCACACTCATAGCATGCAGGTGCTGTGCTAGCTCTCCACCTGCACTAGCTATTTACCTGCATCAGGATCATGATAATCTTGTCTCTCCAGTTTGCAGTAGAGAACTGGCATCTCAGCACAACTGGTCTCTATTGAGCTGAGCCCAGAAAGCTACTTGCAGGGGCCCTGCCATTCCCACTGTGCTCCCGTCCCTGTGCATGTGTGGCTGTGGAAGGCATTAGTGAGGGTATACGGAGATGCCCAAGTGTCTCCAGACAGAGACGGCTCCATGCGGAAGCAAACCTACCCTATTTCGTCCACTCTAAGAGGTGTGTGCTTTCCAGATTTTAATATCCTTGAAAGCAGCTTATAACTCATTCTACCCTTCACGGCATCTTGCAATTGCTGTTGGCACTAAAGAAATCTCCACATGCCACATACGCATGAAGAGTTATGTTGCAAGGATCACTTGATATGACATAGAACACACATGTAGTTCTAAATAGGTGCCTGTGTGGTGTAACATCCGTCCTATGTTAACGTGTCTTGGGTATTATCTATGTCTATGTATAAATGCACATATTCAAAAGACACATATGTCCCTGTGTCTGCAAACATCTGTGCAGATATATAGGCAGGACAGATACTAAATGTCTGTTTGTGCAGGTGCATGTATTTGCTTCACACAGTGAAAACAGCTAAATGATCAGTTGACTTTAACATGTTGCCACACCCCCAAATTCCCAGCTATTAATCCTCTCAACATCCTGACTTTCATTTTACAGTTTCCTGGAACTGTCTGGACTGGCCTTTCTCAAAGTACGAAGGAGGCCTGGGGTCCTGGTATTCAGGCAGTCAGAAATTGGATGATGGGGTGGGGAGTGAAGGAGGAGCCAAAAAAAATTCTGCATTCCCCTGCAGAGGCCAACTCCCTGCCAGTTCCTGGCTCTGTAGCACAGGCAGGGTAGATGGGTTCCCCCACTTTCTACTTTCCCCACCAAGTTCTGAGCAAAGATGCTAATGGGAACAGCCAGATGGGGAGCGTGTTAATGTGATTTATTTGTTCATCGAAAAGCACAAAGTTGTGTTTTTATTTAATTGGGCTGCTGATTTGTGGGACTTTTACTGCAAATGTAACAGCACATCTATTGGGTGCACACCAGCTGCAGCAGCGGCAGTCTCTGCTTCACAGGTCCTTGATGCTCCATCTAACAACTGGAAGGCACAGTGTGGCCTTGCTCAGGTCTACCTCATTCTCCTGTTTCCCTGACCTCACCAGCCTCATCTCCCTCTGCACCACCCTCGGGCAGGCAGCCTTACCAGGTTCTGGCTGAGCAGCTCATAGTCAAAGATTTCCATCTCATATTGTTCGGCCAGTTCCTTACACAGGCTGATGGCCTCTTCCCACATCTACAGATGATCAAGGAGACAAAGGTTAGGGGGACCCCAGCTTTTCAGAGCCTTTGTTGAGAAAGGGACTTGAGTCTGGCCATGGCCCCCTGGAATTGCAGGCCTTCTCTTATGCTGTTCTATCCTTTACACAGGGGGAGCCTGGGACTTCCCTATAGTGTGTGCCCTTTCCCTGGCCTCTCATCCTGACCTTTTGATGAATAATGAAGCAGGCTATGTTTAAATGTTTTCTGATTCTCCCTACATAGTTGGAGAGAGGTCACTAACAGCATCTTCATGTTCTAGGTGAGAAACAGAGGTTCACCTCCCCAACCAGAGGCAGAGCCAGAATGCCAATCCCAGTAGGTGTGACTCCCTTCATTGCCTTGTTTTTAGTAACTTAGAAGCACTCCCTGACTCCTTCACTTCCCCAGTGTGTAGTTTGGACAAGGAAGCGTCAACCCCTTTTGTCAAAGAAAAATGGTCCGCAGAAAAGCAAAGAAATGGTCCGAGGTCAGAGCATTTCTGGGGATGAAGTTGGTCCCTGATGTTCAGTCCTGGGATCTTTGCTTCTGCTAGACATACCACTTTTTAATGGGCTGATGTGGCTGTGGGAGTAAGCGGGGGGTCGGGGGGTGGGGAGAGGCATAGAGGTAGAGGTAGGGACGTACCAGTATACTAAAATGTGATTAAAAATTTCAAAGTAGGTCTTCTCTATCTTTTAAGAAAATATGACACCTTTTTTTTCTGTTGCTCTGTTTTAAGCCATGATTGTCCTCCATCTCAGACTGCAGGGTGTCAGGACACCCTGCAGCCAGGTATGGGGGAGCACAGCAGGCTGGAGGCCTGGCAGTCTCAGAGGATACCCATTCCCACTCCACACTGGGTTTAAAACAGAAAAGCACCTAAATGGAAATGCTGGGGGAGGCAGGGGAGGAGAGAGTGGAGGCTGCCAAAATGTATTGTGAGCTTCATAAGGAAAGTGCTCTCTCTGCATCCAAGCATAAAAATAAATAAAACCAAGTGTGGAGCAGAGGAACCATGGCAGTAAACCCCAGACAGCTTAGTGAGCAGCATAAAAATGCTTTATGTGCCAGGAAGATCTGCATCTGTGGGCCTTGCCCTGAACAAGAAGGTTGTAGGGATGATCCTGACTGGGTCAGGGGTGCTGTATGGCACAAGTGGAGGTCTCTGCCAACTTCCCACAATGTTGGGGACAGGGAGAAACAATATGCTTCCCATGTGCTAAGAGACTGCTAAGAGGCCGAGAGTGGAGACATGGCAGAAAGACAGATGCCCAGCATTTCCTCCAGTCCTCTGGGACCTCTGACAGTCACTGATCTCTCTGAGCCTCACACATCCATTATGGAGCAGCAGCTGGGTTCTGGGCATGGTGCATGGTCATCGATCTGTGCTGTGATGGAGCTGGTCCAAAGATAGACAAGGCACCATTTCTGCTCTCGTGAACACAAAGGGGGCGGGTAGGATAAGCAAAAGGAGATGGAGCTGTTAGGTTTGGGAAGGCACTGGACTCTATCAGGTGACAAGATGGACTTATGGAATGAGAGTTGAGAGAAAGAGAGAGAGAGAGAGAGAGAGAGTGTGTGTGTGTGTGTGTGTGTGTGTGTGTGTGTCTTTAAGGAAAGCTGAGGGGGGGCTAAGAACTTTAGGCTTTATTCTAGAAGCTTCTATGGCAGTGACTTTCAGGGTGAGTTGTACCATCTGCTGCCTCCTCTCTGCTTCCAGGCACCACTCTGCTCCCTTGTCCCCATCATAATAATCACACAATACTAAAGAGCAACATGCAAAATCTGATGACTGGTGTGTCTGTTTCTTCAAGACAGTAAGCTTTCTGAGCCGCACACTCATGCCTTTTCCCTCTGTGCCCAGCAGAGTGGTCAAACTGAATTCCTAGCTGAGGACAAAGCCCAGCTCCACTTGGGGCTCCCACAGTGGGACCGAGGTAACCAGCAATGAACAAATAGCAAGCTCTGATTTGATTCCCAGTGGGACAGGAGGTTCAAAAGATGGCAGAGTCTCTGCCCTCAAGAGGCTTATAATTGTAAATTATAAGACAGTCTTCTCTAACTGGTGGGAATTTATAAGTGCTCTGCAGACATTACCTCATTTCATCATCCTGGGGTGGGGAAGGCAGACCAAGACAGAAGCAGTGAACTGCAGGGGCAGGACAGACCCAAACCAAGTGTTCAGTGGTATCCTGATGGACAATAAAAAGCCTTTCCAGTCAGAGGAGACTGAGGGCTATCTATGAGCCAGAGGGCTTGAGGAAGGCTTCAGAGAGGAAGTAGGCAGGTAGCAATGGTGGCAACTGAATTTTAAGACATGGCCACACATCAGCTTCTATGCTGACATCTATGTGCATTTCCCCACCTAATTTTCACCCTACAACTTGGTAGCAGGTGATGCTAATCTCTCACTATTGGAGGAGGAGACCTGGACCATCAGCGAGGCCAAGTGAGACTGTAAGTGGTGACAACATGAAGGACATTATCTGGATATCTGGCTCTGGACCCCAAGCATGCAGTGCTGTGACATGTTGCCTATGGGATGGATGGTGGCCTTTGGGCTGGAATTGCCTGAAGGTTTGCTGGAAATTAGGGCTGCTTTCAGGAGCTTGTTTGTTCCATCTCCCTTCTGCCAGAATCCTTGCTGTTTAAAGATCAGTGACAATGCAATGTTATCTGTCAATCCTCTCATTTGCCCAACATATATTCATTGGTCTCTCATGTCAGGTTCTGTTCTGGCCATCAGGCATTCAGCAGTAGATAGGACAAAGTCTTTGCACTCATGGACACTGAAGTGAGGAGTCAGACAGTAGACAAGCAAAACCAAAACGAAGGAAGCGATGTCAGTAGTAGAAAAGTGCTTTGTTTTGAAGAAACAAGAAGGGTGACTCTGGGCAGAGGGGCTGGAAGTGGCCAGGGAAGCCCTCACTATGTCTACATAAAACCCTAAGCAATGGAAAGAGTTCACCTTCCAGTGGGAAGCTGTGGAGAGGAATGCTCCAAACTGGAAAAAGCAAGTACAAAGGTCCTGAGGTTGCAAAGAGCTTGGCACAGACATCCTCTTTAGGGATGAAATGAGCGGTGGTCAGGACTCATGTGAGAACCAGTGGATGATGGGAAGATTGCGTAATGTATGTTAAGTAATGGGGGAGTCATTGAGATGGTTGTTCTCAGCCTGCATTCTCCAGTGTATGTTTCATGATCCTCCTGCACTGCCATGGATGATGCTCTGTCCTAACTAAGCAGGGAACTGCTTAGGATACATTGTAGCATCCATGTAAGTGATGTTAATATCTGAATGGAGGTAGGAGTGAGTAAAGATGGAAAGATGTCATCAGATTTCAGTTTCAGAGGGAGAGCCAGCCAGACCTGAGGATGGTCTACATGTAGAGTATGGGAGAGACTAGTCCACCCAGTGGCCAAGGTTCCCACAAAGAGAAGAGGGCAGGTTCCCATTACCTTTCCTTTGTCAAAGTAGCCTATTATGGTCTCATAGAGTGTCTCCTTCAGCTGCCTGTGGGTTTGCGGGTGCTGCTGGCCTGTCTGCATGACCTGTGATGCGCACTGCTCGTCTGACCACTGTAGAGAGAATATAGGGAGTCACATGGGGGTTAAGAGGCAGTCATGGACAGGTGTCTGCCAGTACTAAGGCAGAAACCACCCTCTCTAGCTCTTGCCCGATCTGTCTCTTCTCCTTCCCTTTCTCTCAGTTCATCTTTGGAAACTCAGGTACTATTGGGGAAGCCATTTTCGTGGGTATTAGTACCCAGGATGCTTGAAGACTGCTCTCTAGCAGTACTGATGATCAGAACACAGCAGATGAACCACTGACCATGAGCCATCAACACCTCTCTATTAAGGAGCATACACCTTCTTTTGGCTTCCCCTGGTTCCTGGTATCTGTGGTCAGACAGATGCTGTCTGCAATTTCCATGTGTGAAGTGACTGATTTCGACTAAACTGGGTTTGTTTGCCTTTCTAATGGTTCACAGTGTGTAGTTTGTAGGGATTTTTCTAAACGCTAATGAGACACAGTTCTAATACTTCAAACGTCAAAGGAAACTAACTATTCTTTGCTTTCACATCAGTGTTCTCAAGAAAGCAGCTCAGGTCATACTAATGTTTTATCCTAGGTAACAGGTTAGAGGCTATGTAACATTGTAAACACGTCCTTAAGGCTATTGCTGTTGAATAGAAAGGTCTTTCAGAACCTTCTGTGACCAGGTTAAGTAGGGCAGAAAGATATGCTGCCAGGTAGAATTTAGGGGCACCAAGAAAAGTAAACTTCATTTGGCTTTTTTTTCCCTTTTGAGTATTTCTTTCATTCTTTTTTAAACTCTCCAACCTGTGGGGGATCCCATAAGGATCTTAGCATGAATCCTCTTCATGGGGCTGTACCTTGAGAAGCCAGGTGTGTAGAAGCAGTGTGTAGGCGGCCTCTGTGTAATTGTCACAGTCCAGATGAAGGTCACGGAGTTTATAAAGGTACCTGTTTGAGGGAAACCATCAAGAGTTACAAGACATAACATTAAGAAAGTATTTGAAGAGGACAGGAAGCAGCCAGACAGAACAAAGGGGTTCTTCTGTAAGGCACAGGAAGTCCTTCAGCCTGGCTGACCAGCCTTCTACATGGGTGGTAATAACAGCACCTAGCATTTGTTGACATATGATACTTAGTATGTATCAGGTACTATGCTAAGTGATTTTTTTTCCTTTTGTTCCTGACAGAAGGACTCACTATGTAGCTCAGCCTAGCCTGGAATGTAATACATAGTCCAGCCTGGCCTCAAATTCACGACCCTCCTATTGATCCCCCAAGTACTGGAATTACAGCTTGTACTAAGTGTTTATGCTAAGTGTTAAGGCTTGGATCATCTAATCCTCAAGAAAACCCTGTGATATGAGTTCATTAGGGACTCCCATATTCTGATGAGAAAAACTATGACCTAAAGTTAGGGACCTCCAGATAACATTCAGCTTGATACAGAAGGGTCTGGCCAGTGTAATGACATGGCGATAGAAGAAGAAAACAAGTAGCTTGTCAGCATGCTAAAACAAGAGGAACTGAAGTGTGATCTCCATCTTAATCACTGTGTGAGTACGTCAGCACGACAATTATAAAGGGTAGTTTGGATCTTCTCTTCAGAATTATCTGGTAAAGTGCAAAAGGAACAGAGAAGGGGCTAGAGAATGGATAAGGAGGCCCTGAGCTCAGCAGAGCAGGGACTAGAGAATGGATAGGGAGGCCCTGAGCTGTTCATAGAGAGAATCTGCTACTCAGGCATACTCACATTCCCATCACCTGACCCTTTGCAAAGTGACATTCCAGTTCTGAACCCTGAGATGAGAATCCAGTTGAAAGGTTGTGAAGACAGAAATAGGAACAAAAGAAGGGAATTACGATACATTCTTATAACTGATCACATGGGCAGCAAACCATGGCTTCAAGCCCAACAGGACCAAGTAGCAACCGGCTACAGCCTCTGAAACAGTGAATTAAACTAAACATTCTTTTTGGCAAAGTGATGGAAAACTGACTGACACGAGATCCTTTCAGAAAGATTTCTAGCCTGATAGTTTAGCTGGGCTCTGCAACAGTTGGGGGTCAGGGTAAGTGGGCGAGCATCCCCGCCAGAAATATGCAACTCATCCTGCCAACATTGCTTTTAAGGTGAGAAAACAGACCTGTGTTAGGAGAGATGGGGGCAGGGCTTGGCCTAGTTGTTCCTGCCTCAACCCCCACAATGCTCTGCTGATGGGAGTTTTCAATGAAATTGCACATGGCATCCAGGTAGAGTTTGGAATTTGGAGACATCTGTGTTGCATACATGGTTCAGTCCTATCTCATTGCTTCCCTTTAGGCCCCTTGATGGCTGGGCTTCAAAAACTTGGGGAGAGTGGCCCAAGGGGGAGTTCCCCTGCTACTTCCAACTTCTGAACCAACCAAGGCCACTTCGCCTCCCCTTTGTTACCTTGGAGCTTAACCATCTGCTACAGAGCCCCAAAGAAGATCCACCAGGGCTAATAAGTCAGATGCCTCTAGGTGCTGGAGTGAGGTGCCATAGGGAATCACAGCTGTATCTAAAAGGGCCACCACCACGCAGTGAGTGACAGTTGTCTGAGTGGGATGAGGGTGCAGTGTTGTGATGCTTCCTGGGTTTTTCAGAAGGAAATGTTGGTTTTTATAGTCTCTACATGTAAAACTTTTGGCAACCAATTACAATATGTTTTAATTCTCTGCCAAACAGAAGAGACATCCAGACTATCCCCTGCCTGCGGTATCTAGAGTAAACCAATATGGTGGCTTGGCTTTTTGAAATTAGCATAGGCCCCACTCTCCAAAGCTTGTGGGGGTCTGAGACTCACTATCTGTGCTTCTAAAGTGGAAAAGACAGGAAAGAGGTTTTTTTTGGGGCGGGGGGCATGTGCTGGTCATGTAGCCTGGAGTCTCCCATCTCACCCTCAGAGTCGAAGACAGAATGAGAATTTTCTAGAGCAAAGAGAGAAAAACCACAAGCAGTGACTAGAGTGGCCCAGCCAGCATAGCAGAGAAACTGAGGCAAGGACCCCCATGCTGCAGACTCCAAAACTTTGTGTGTAGCAAAGCTCAGGACAATCTAGAGAATGACTTTTTCTCCACACCACTGTTCCTACTGCCGGACTGAGGTAAAGTAAGAACTGAACCATGCTGGTGGTAAGAGGAGAGAGAGTTTAGACTTAAAGGTTCAGCCCTTTAACTGAATATGTCAGAAACCTTGCAAATCCCGCGCTCTTCCACTTTCTTGTTGATTGCACTGCTGGGGCCTCAGCTCATAAGAACCAAAGATCTATGACCAAGAATTCTTTGTTGTGTTATTCATTGTAGAAAAAAGCTGGAAAAAAGCTAATTATTTGATACAGGCTAGATAAATGAAGGCATAGTCTGTAAAGGAAATTTTACAGTTTCTTACAAGTGATGTTGAAGTACATCTTGTCAAGTAAGAAAGAAGAATAAATTATTAGTAATATAATGCCATTTTTGCATGTACAGAATTAGATGCATATGTGAACTAAAAAGTCTCAAAATATGTATGGGTTATGAGAGTTTATTTCATGATTTGTTTTATTAGCTTATAGTTTATGAAGCTTTTTTGATTGTTTTGGTTTGGTTTTTAAAAAGTGTTTTATTTTTGTAATGAGTAAAAAATAACAGTAATACATTTTTTTCAGGAAAAGTATGAGAGTCTGAGAAAAATTGGCTTAAGAGTTCTTTGCTCTAGGCGAATGTCCTCAAAAAGCCTCTCATGATATACTCAAATTTTTTTTTTAAATGCCTACCAGGGAGGCATCATGCAATGTGGTATTTTTCTCCCTTTTATTATTATATTTATATTGGGCATGTACATGAATATGATGTGTACGTATGGGTGTGCACCTGTCATGGCACACGTGTGGAGGTCGGAGAATACCTTATAGGAGTCAGTTCTTTCCTTTCACTATGTCGGTCCTGGGGCTTGAACTTACATGGCCAGGCTTCACCCACTGAGCCATCTCACTGGGCCCTTTTCTCTCTAGAAAGGCAGGATAGCCAATGGCCCTACTGTGTACCTGGACGAAGGAGGGTTTTTGACATGCTTTCCTGTGACAGACGCAAATAAGCTCACAACTCAATTTGCAAGGTTTCACTCCTAAGGGAAATGTCTGCATCTGGACAGCAGGAGGTCTCAGAACTCAGGTTTCCTGGGGATGACTGTGGGAGAATGGAAGGTTCCAAGACTTGGGAAATTGAGAGAAATCAGAACACTAAGAGTCAGGTGCCAAGAAACAAGGTTTAGATCCTGAAGGCAGGGGGAGCCAGAGATGGATACAGAGCAGATGGGTAACATAGCAGGTTTAGATTTTAGAATAAAAATCTTACCTTATGTACATCTCTTCCCGGTTGTTATCTTTGTAGAAATTCTAGATAGAGGAGGAAAAACAGTATTGAATGCTTTTCTTTGCAGAACTGCAGGGATACAGGATGTGGTGATGGAGCTGAGGGAAGGACTGCTTACTATCTGGGAAGGCTGACGGGGAGCAGGAAGTTTACTTTGCTAAATGCAAAGAGGATCTGCTCTGTAAAGCACTTCTCTGACTATAAAGGGGCAGAGCAAGTGTCTCACTCATCACATTTTAGGGAATGCAGCAGAGCTATTTGCTGGGCTGCCAAGACCCAGCAATTTATCTATTCAGATTGTCTGATTTAAAAGGCAACCTGGACCAACCTTAGGAGCTTGGTGCAGCTGCAGGGATCTGAGTTGAAAAGTAAGTGCCAGCATCCAGCAGCAGTAACAGATCCTAACTCCTGACATCAAAGAATACTCCAGATTTATGATGCAATTCCATACCCAAAGTACTTAAACTCAAGCATGCCCAGGAGACCAGGTCCTAGTTCTAACTTAGAGGCCATTGTCTTTTTTTGATTGTGTTCTTTTGTTTGTACTAAATTTTGCTGTATTATTGCTTTATTTTTTGAGACAGTCTCACTCTGTAGCCCACATTGGTCTCAAACTCCTGTTCCTTTTTTTTCCAAAGTATTTTATTTATTATTTTTTATTTTATGTGTACAAGTGTATTGCCTGCATGTATCTAAGTGTACCTGTGTCATGCAATGCCCATGGCGATCAGAAAGGGGCATCAGATCCCCTGGACTGGAGTTATGGATGGTTGGCACCTGCCATGTGGGTGTTGGGAATCAAACTTGGGTCCTCTGCAAGAGCAGCCAGTGCTCTTAACTGCTGAGCCATTCTTCTAGCCCCTCAAGTTCTTGTTCTTTTAGTTTTAGCCTCCTGGGATTATAAGTGCATGCCATCGGGACTGGTTCTTAGGGGACATTTATCTATTCATTTATTTTTATTTATGTGTATGTGTCTACGTGAGTGTATGCCACCTGTGTGCTGGTGCCTGGGGAAGCCAGAAGAGGATATCAGAGCCCCTTAGGCTACAGGTGGTTGTGAGCCACCTGACTTGGGTGCTGGGAACTAAACTTGGGTTTTCTGAAAGAGCAGCAAGTACTCTTAAGCACTGAACCATCTCTCCATTTAGGGGCCATCTAGATTGGTAGTAACTTTGGACTCTGCTTGTTTGAGATCCTAATCTTGGGACAATTTAAAACAGGTTTTCATAGATTTTTTTAGCCAGGACATCCTGATCAGATCTAAGAGCCACACCATGACAAACCTTTGTGGGATGCAAGGCACCTACATGCTCAACTTAGAGACATACAGAAGATGTGTTCCGGGGGACATGGTCAGGGGTGGCAACCTCACAGAACTTCCACTCTGCTGACAGCAGCACCTTCCCACTGCCCCTCTCTAACACCTGACTGTTTTGGAAGTGCCTGACCTACACATTCTCTCTGGTATGGGTGTGGCAGATAAAGTTCAATTTCTTCAACCAGCTCCCGAGCCTCCTTGGAGAGAAATGGGAAAACCCCTTTCCATTTCGTTATGTAAATTGGGCCTGTTATTAGCACTGAATTCCTTTCTGCTGTAGTCAGGGTTTTTAAAATCCCCTTGGCATTCTGAAAAATCAATGGCAATATCTAAGCTGTTAAGAAAGAGTTCATATCAGGTAGGGGGAAGCCACACAGCAGAGCTGGGGGGCAGGATTTGTATTTCTGGAACACTGGGAATGGCAGGAGGCAGTGTATATAATAGATATCATGTGGGCTTTGACTGATTTTATTCACATAAGCTATTTTAAGGATGGCAGACATTGTAGAGATGCCACACCGTGGATGCTACTCATAGTCACATGACACCATGGGAGGCCATTTCAGAGCTAGCCCTTGAGAGCTCATGTAATGGGGGTGAGAGCTTGGGTTTGGAGCTAGCTGCTTTAATTAACCACGTCCCGCTCTAAGTTGTAGTTGTTAGGGTTACTCTGCAAGAAGGATATTGCCACACTTTAGCCTTTAACCATGGTCCAGGACTGCACGGCCTCATGAACTATGTGCTGTCCTTTTCTCTAAGAGACAGACAGAGCGAGACTCAGAGCTTCCATTAGTTACTGCAGGCAGGACGAGAGCCCAGGAGCTACAGGTATGTCTCTGAAACCCATCAATTAGCCAGGTGTTCTGCTCTCTTCCTTCAGTAGGATGTGTGAAGAACTTAAAGGAGTTCTTTTCACCTTCCACTTCACATATAAGGAAACTGAGCACAGGAAGGCTTCTGGATACAGAGCACACATGCAGAGCAGGGACTCAGCCACTGATTTCCAGAGCAGTTAGCACCGCTTCCCTCCCAAGAGCAGACGTGAGACCCCAAGCTTAGCCTGCACGGCAGGACACCAGTCCGGCTGGGTCCAGGAGGACCGGGCGGTCACGCACCAGCAGGTTCACAGTGCAGCTCATACGGTTGTCTTTGCTCTCGTCTGTCATCACGCCCCGGTAATCCAGCAGCTTCTCCAGTAGCCCTTTGACCAGACTTACAAAGCTCTCCACAGACTTGGCAATGGTGGGGTGCTCCACTGTACACTCCATCAGGCTGTGGGGAGAGAAGGGCTCTGAGCTCATGCTGGGAAATAGTGAGGAGCACAAGCAAATGACCAGGGGATGGAAGCCCCCTGCTCAGCCCTGGTTTATTTTCCTTACCCATACACTCATCCAGTCATACAACACAGCAGGTATTTTTATGCTATAGGAACGGGAAAAAATTAAAATATTCAATTTTTCCTATGCAAGCAGTGGTGCGGGATGGGGGTGGTGGGGATGGTTACATTTGCTCACACTGGGAGTGCAGCAGGATGACTTTTGTGGGTAGCAATTTTCACAATATCTAGCAGTATTTTAAATGTACACAGTCTCTGACCCAACAACTTTACTCTGGGGAATCTGCTCCACAGAAATACTCCTAGAACTATGCTAGGCTGTATTTTGGGGGCTTTCAAATTGTATCTGATAATGGAATGCCTGGAACTATCTGAAGTATCCATCAATTAGAAAATGGTTAGTATTTTCACACCATGTGTTTCTATGAAAGCTTTAAAAAGTATTAGAAGGATGAATTGGTATTGACATAAAAACTCTTTTAAATACATGGTTAAATAAGTCTACAAATGATTTTATTTTTTATTTAAGTAACTGGTACAGAACTTACCATCTTCCCAGTGTTATTCTCAGTATCCTAAAAAGATGAGCTCCTTTAATCTCCCATCATAGTCTAAAGGATGAGACTCTCATAGATAGGAAAATTAAGGCATGGAGATGTCACTGAACTTACTCAAGGTCTCATAGTTGATAAATATCAACAGTCTGCTTCAGCATCCATGTCTCAACTACCCAACTGTGTGTGTGTGTATGTGTGCATGTGTATGTGTGTGTGTGTATACCCACAAGATGGCACAAGGCACGACCAAGGTTAGACATCAGCCGCTTAACTGTGGTTGCTTGTGACAAGGGGTCTGGAGTAAACAACGGAGAAAGAAATGCTTTGCTTTCCTACTTAAATACAGGTGTACTGATAAAAAACAAAACAAACAGATGACATTCTTTGTAATATTAGCATTATAAAAACTTTATGCCACTTCTAAAGCACCTATCAGTGGCTAAACTCTGTACTAGACATAGTGTGGTGGGGAGAGACATCAGCTGGCAGAGAACCCTTCCACCCCTGCAAGAGAGGATGGGGTTACAATTTTGACGACAATTCTTAAAATCACATATGCAGTGCCAGACACTGTGCTGATCCCTTAAGACATTCTCACAGGAATTCCAACACTAGACACTATTCTTCCCTGTTTACAGAAGAGGAAATGGAAGCAAAGAAAGGTTAAAAGGCCTTCCCAATACCACCCTGATATAAGTTTAAGTGGCGACCTTGGAAACAAAGCCAGTCACTCAATCTGCGGAGAGATTTTCTCACAGATGCCATAACACATTCTCGGGTGTCTTGGGTGGACAAGTGCCACCCAGGTTGCGTTTCCAGCCTATGGCAGGTGGTGGAAGTCCCGAGACATTTCAGGAGGAGAAAAGGGGAAAAGCAAGGACTTCACAGGGTCATTTCCTATCAGAATCCACAGCAGGCTACAGAGGCAACATCTCAAACTGTGGTGGGGACCAGACACATCAGACACATCGATCTGAGAGAAGCACCTGCTCCCAGCTCTCAGGGAGAGATGCAAATGGCCTGTGATTTACACCTGTCTGGCTCAGCCACAGCTGTGCCTGCTCCTCTGGGACAGCCACTTTCAGCCCTGCAGTCGAGCTTCTCTTTGGTGTTTAGGGTGGGATTTCAGGCAGAAGGCACATCTAGGCTCAAGTTTGGCCAGAACAAGGGTTCTCAGCCCTAGACCATGCCACAATGCCCAGGGAGCTTCCAAAAAGCTACCGCCCAGCCTAGGCTGTATCTTTGGAACCTCGGGAGGCCCAGGCAGCACTGCTTTGTTCTGAGGCTGTCCAGGAGATTTCAGTGCATAGCTAGTATTGGAGACCAACCTATGTGAGCATCACCTGAGCACTTGTGCTAATAGAGTCTGATTCACCAGTCTGCTTGTGGTCTGAGATCCTGCCTTGCTAACTATCTCCCAGCAATCCAATGCCTAAAATAAACTCTTCAGTTTCTTAGTGTGTCTGTTCTTTGGGGATGGGGAAGGAAGGCTGTTCACACAGTGGAGGGCTGGAGAGATGGGTGGTTAGCTACCACTCACCCAGCTATCCATTCAACACATACTGTTCTATAAACTATAGATCATTAAGACCTGGTGCCCTGAATGGAGGTCCTGGTTCAGCAGGAGAGATACATAGAGATAAGGATGAACCATGGTGTACAATGGCACTGTCCTGTGCTTGGAACTAACTCCCTGCCTTCCAGCCACTGTACTAAGCCCGTTTCATTGCTTATCCTGTTCTGAACTCCCACAACTTAAAGCAGACATTATCATAACCCCCCAAACTACATGAGGTATGAGGCCCTTGGGGCTAGGTTCTGCCAAGGTCACATAACTCTCTCCTCTAAGTCCCACAGTAGAGTGTTAAGTGACAATAAGAAAGAGTGGTGGGAGTCATGAGCCACATGGACCATTCTCCTTAGTGGATCTCCATCCATCACCCTCTGCCAGCCACTGCCTTGGGGGCTCAAAGAGTGGTGCCTCCCTGGAATTGCACACTCAGCAAGGGAGGCTTCTGGAGAGAGAAGCCAAGTCCCTCACTAGCATTCAGACCTGGACTTCCACTCATCCCCTTTAAAACTGTGCAAAGCCTCTGATGGAACTGTTCCCCTTCCCAGTACACTGGTTTTGGGAGAATCCAGGCCCCAGAATATACAACTAGATCTTTTCACTTTGATACTCCCTTACTATCCCCAAGCAAGTAGAGGTGGGTTCTGGGGAGAGCTCTGACGGCAGGGGGGATTAGGGTCTGTGTAAGGTGGTGGTAGAGCTTGTGGCATTACACAAAGGCACGCGAGGACTAAGATTCAGCTTTATCCTACAATCAAGCCTTCTTCCCTGAGGCAAGACTGTAAGTGCCATAGGAAGGGAAACCCCGTTCTAGTCACAAAAATACCATCCAACTTTCAAGCCCTGTGCCTACAAGGTTGACTCTGTCTATAGATCCCTATACCAGCTCAGGCCTTGAATGAGGAACTAGGAGGAAGACACCAAACCCGGGGCTGAATTGTGGTTCCTAATAGCTACATTACTGTCTACTTGGATAATAATAACAATAGCTAATATAGTCACACTACCCACTGGGTATCAGAAACTGTGCTAATGAAATAAAACTAAAGGAAGCCAAGAAAGAAAAGCAACCACGCTAAGTACCTTACAGACCTTCCCTTTCAGTCTTGACCAAACCTCTGAGAGTTGGGCAATGCATTTATCTCTAATGTATGGGTAAGGAAACTGAGGTTCAGAGAGAACAAGGATGGGACCAGGGCCCAGGGCCCCTGGCTGTTCTGAAGAAGCCCTGATTTCCAGGTTTGGCATGATTAGTTTTGTGTAAAAAAAATCGTTCACACCTCCATCTCAGGAGGAAAATAACGAGCTGCCTTTAATTTCCCTAACCCGCTGAGGACTCCTTTGATAAAGAGCCACTCAGACAGGATTTTGTGAGTCCTGCTGGTAGTCCAAAGCCTGATGCAGAGCCCCAGCCATTTATAGAAAAGGAAATTGCCAGAGTGAACAGGATGCCTCTTCTGGTCACTATTTAGATTTTCCTTCTCAGAACCTTAAGATGAGCACGGACTTTTGCCCTTGGAGACTCAGTTCCGACATTTCCCCAGGGGACAGCCAGCACATTTCTCCCTCCAGTAAATCTGGCTTGCATTTTAGGTGTTTAGGAAGCCTGCGTGCAGCAACAGGCAGGGCCTGGGTCAGCTGAGACTGTGCTTCCAGGGGCTCCATTGAGCCTGGCTGGACTCTGACCAGCTGTGAGGAGGTTCACGGTGGGAAGTTAGAACAAACCTTTGTTTGCCTTTGTTAGGAAAAGTCAACATTCAGAGAAGACTGGGGAAAGAGTCCCCACACCAGAGGATCATACACACCAGAAAATACAGAGGAGGGGAAACTGGGGTGCCTGGATATCTTCCTGAGAAGGCAGGGGCAATTACCAGACAGCCAGAGACAGGAACTGGGAGCCAGGCCTAGGGACTTAAGCACATTCATTAAGCATGTACCTGCTGTGTGCCAGCTGCTTCCTAATTACCTAGTCTTCAAAATAACCATGGGAGCTTTAGAAACGGGGATACTGAGGCCAGAGCACTAATGGGATTTGCCCAAAGTCATACAGCTGCAAACTGGGGAGTCAGGATTCAAATGCCACGTGTTTCCCCCAAAAGATACAAGTAGCCTATAAGCAACAGAAAATGCTCAGCATCCTTAGCCACCTCAAAAACTGAGAACAGACCACAAGGACGATCAGCACACTCCTGCCAGGGGGGCTGTCATCGATAAGAGAGATTAACAGATGTTATAGGAAGTGAAGTTGAAGCCTTCCTGCATTGCTGGTGGGGGTAAAGATGGAGCTGTCCGTTAGTGTGTTTGGTGTCTCCTCAAAAGGCTGACTATCTTTATACTGATATTGCCCTACCACCTTGCAATTCTGTTCTGAAGTGCCATATTTAAGTGTTCATGGCACAGTCAATCCTAAAAACCAAGAAAGCGGAACAGACTACATATCTATCAGCTGATTAGTGAGCAAACAAAATTGGTGATGATGTATGTGATCTGGATGAGCCAGAGAACAGCAGGCTGTATGAAAGAAGCTGGTTACAATGGGCTATACTGATCCAAGTCTGTGAAATGCCCAGAACATGCAAAACCAGAGACAGAATGCAGTCATGACTGCATGAGGCTAGAAGACCTGGGGCGGGTGTGTGTGTGTGTGTGTGTGTGTGTGTGCGTGTGTGTGTGTGTGTGTGTGTGTGTGTGTGTGTGTGTATGGAGGAGGTGTGCCTGGGGGGTACAGGGCTCTTTTTGAGGGAAATTATTTGTGGTGATGTTTGAGCATCACTTGGTAAACAATACCAAGTCAGTGAGTAGTGCATTCTAGGTAAATTGAAGAATTATATGTCAGTGTTT